AACCTTTTGCCGATAGTCGTCGGGTCATGCTGTAGTCAGATTATAATATCGCATGTCATACAGACAAGATTGTAAGCTACTGTGAAATGAAATTTAGGCCAATGCGTACCAGAATTGAAGAATATTATTGTTCAAGATGTTCGGCTGACCTGCGAGTGCAGATCGTGGAGAGCACTCCGAGCTGACCTCATCTGGTCGGCTCGAGTCTCGGACGGCTTTACGGGACGTCTCCCACTCGGTTGAGTTTCAAATCCCGCATTCAAGCCCAGTTGAGGCCTTGCTTGCGTAGAAACCATGGGCTACGGTTCTAGTCGGATTTTTGTTGCTCGTTCGGAGTGAGCATCAAATACCCGCTTTCGAGCCATCCGGCAATCACACCCATTCGGGATTGCTGGATGTCAAGACGACCCTGGTTGTCTGACGCGCAGGACGCTGTGCGAGAGCTTGACTTGACCAATGGCAACGCGTAGTTTACTCGCCAGGGAAGTCGGTCGCAAGAAATCAGCTACGGACCGGGTTGGTCAGCTCCTCCATTGCTGGTAAAGTAGAACAATCGCCATGACTTGCCTGTTCGTGTTTAGAGAGGCGTAAAAGGACACCGTCGTCTGTCGAGTTCGTATCTAAATTATTCTGCCCCAGTTACTAAAAAGAGGAGAAGGAGAGGCAAAAGAGGTCGGCAGTGCATTCAACAATCAGAGACATTCCGCTTGTCAGGCCGAACTCGAAGTCAAAGTGGAAGGCACAGCCAAGATTGTAAAAAAGCGACATGCCCCCACTGAGCTAATCAGAAAGGGAGGCGCGGCCTGCTAACCATTTGTGTCGCAATCTGCACGTCGACAAAGGCTGGAGGGGTGTGTAGATTAGAGTTTGACGTCTGGGTGCTGCTCTATAAAGCTGAACTTTGAACATACCAAGCCGTAACGCTTGGTACGTCGAGGTGAGAGCGATCAATTAGTGTAAACCACTTACACCTTCGACACCCAAGAGGTCTCTAGAGGTAGTTACATCAAGCGTCTGAGACATGAACCGGCTGGTATCACCAGGATGGCAATTTTCCCGAGATGCGATTTGGGCCTGGTGTATCAAAGGCATAAACCAGAATAAGGTGTGCTCTAGACTTAGAAATGTCAAATCGCGACATCATTGATGAAAGTGTCACGTCCGGTACGGTATTTTTGACATGCATTGTGGGAGACCGTGCGAAGGAAAGAGTGTCCTGGATTGCCCTCGCATGTGGATTTCGGCGTGTTAGAGTGGGTCTCTGATAGGTTGGTTTCCATTGAAAGTTACAACTTCACTTCATTATTCCCTCGAGACTTCCCCAAACAAAAGCTCGAGATCACCAAATGCTGAATTTTTCTTGTCATGGCTCACATTCTCAGTAAGTGAATGCTTTGCGACTTAATAGATTGCTCTTCTCTGAGGCTGTTGAGCGGAATTTTCATAGCGGCAGATACCTATGGTAGCGGGTAGGCATCACTTGAGTATGTGCTTGTGACTACAATTTTTTATACAGCAGATCCTGCATTCCAGAAACTCAGATACAAATACCTAGTCACATTTCGTCTGACTTTAACCAAGTACGCTTACACAGTAAAGCCTTGGGTGTCTTTTCAGCATCGTGGCTTGTAGGGATTCTTGCCCCATGTCTCTTCTCAACAGATGCGGTCACCCCCCTCGTCATGGCTAGAGCACTTCGTCATTACGAGCGGGGAGGGGTTCCAGGCCAGGGTAGGATTCATGTCATGTCCTGTGATATTATAAACGATGCAGGAGCTGACGGCGTGACGCTCCCTCCCTGGATTCTTGCGGACATTTTTGCGGCCATATTCGGCATACTCTTCGTTCTCTATTTGTTCCACGGAACTTGAAACCATTTCGATTTGCAGTTGAAGACATTTTCTTTGAAAATCAGGGCCATGATATGTCGTCTTTCACAAGTCATATATGCCTATAGTCATGATGCAGCGAGGGAAAGGTGCAGGATGTAAAGTGTACCTTGAAGCTTGGCCAATTCCGCCGCTTCCTTGCAGCTTGGACGCATGGAGGTGGTTTGGGCTTTTGCATCATTCGACAGTTTTGCCGAGAAAGCCCTTGGTCTCACAGAGTTGACGTCCACACCAACAGCATACCCAGCTCCCGTCCCAGGAGGTTGTTCCGCACCCTCCAATTCCACGTGAAGGTTGCACAGTCACCCTGCCGTCATACTCGATAGCGGCCACAAGGACCACGGAGCGATGGCAGTCCATTCACGCCTTGGCACAAGCAGTTGATGCCGCTCTTGGATATCCGTACCAACACAAATATGATGCTATCGACTTGCTCGCCATTGATATCACCTCGTCTATTGTCATAATGGAACCATATAGGTAGGCTCTGGTAAGGCACTCATCAACATATTCAGATTGTAACAGCGCAATGTATGCTACCAAGGAAAGGCACCTCGGGTCGGATCAAGACAATGGCAGCAATGGTGTGGGAGCCAACCGAGCTTGACAATCCTGGACAAAACACGGCCGGGCTGATGAACCATGCTGTTGTTGCTGCTGCTGCTGGTGCTGTCACTCGAAACCGTACAGATGCATTTCATCACCCATGAACCCCAGCTTTCTCCAGACTGCTAGAACTGCTTCCCGCCCATCCTCACCGTTATCTCCAGTAGTGTACCCGTCCAAGCCGTCCATCTCGCCCATTGACGCGGCACTGGTATTTGATCCACCACACCTCGCGCCCCGAACCACCCTCCTCCAGCACTTGGACCCTTCCCAACGGGCACTGCAACCGCTACCACGTCGAGATTAGCTTAGTCGGTTAAACTTTAATCTGGGCGGTGAAAGAACAGAGATTCAGTTCGGTTCCAGCTTTCCACTCGTCTTTGTCCCGCCACGCGCCCGCCCGTTCATTCGGTTGAACCGCCACAGCCAACAGCAAGATGAGATACTGGGGCATATGACTTAGTACCCCATTACCAAGCAGACCGAGTTTGACCTGATCTCACCTTGCCCGCCTTGGTACGACATCATCCAGGCAGCTTTTCGGAGCTTTACTGGATGCTCTGCGTATCACATCGCGACGTTGCCTTGTCATGAGTGGCCTGGCGACTGCTATGTACACGCCCCCTCCCTTGCATGCCCATGTTCGCACTCTCTCCACTTCTGTGTCCAGGATGGCCAGTCTGACAGGGGGTAGCCTGGAACATGGGCTGCAACTGCCTGCAGAAGGCGGTCCACATGCCAAGGCCCCACCTTGTAAACTACGCCTGCACTTGCCTGATGGGACCCAAATCCATGTGCGCTTGCGCATTTCATTTTGCTTCGCGAGCAATGATCATGGAAGGGACATGGCGACCGCACTTGGAAACATGGAAGTGAAAAAAACTGATATCAATATGTTTGAAGCCAAGGCCTGGATCACGCTCTCGTGCCTCTTTTTTTTTTATGGGATGACACCCCGGGGGAACTAACATAGTTTATCGCATCAAGAATCACTCCGCGTGCCGTCCAAGCATGAAAGTGAAAGTTACAAGTTTTTAAGTTCTTTTGAAAACTGAAAGCGAGAGACACCCGACGGCGCGCCCGGCGGGACCCGGAAACATGAGATTCCATGGAAGCTGACTGAGCGAACCGAACTCTACCGGACTTACGTACATCTTTTCCCCCGACCTTTTTTTATCCTCTTGCCTCTTGTTCCCTTTTTGTTCATTCGTGATTCGACCAGGCGAACGAACCCCATTACCTATCATCATATCTGGAGCCTGTCCCCCAGCCTGTCCCCCCTTCAGCTTCTACCCCCCTCGCCGTGCCATCACTGCAACAAGTTCCGTCCGACTGGTCGGCTCGTGGTTTCTCTGACTTGCGCCAACCAACCATTTCACATGTCCGGCTACCTACTTGACTCTTGTGCGTCTTTCAGTTTGCAAATCCCATATGCACAACCTAACTCTCTTTCTGCATCACCCAGTGCATCACCAAGCGCGCGTGCATTCCAGATCCAAATCAGAGCTTTAGACTCTCACTCTCGGCTGTGACCCTTGGGCCCTCCCCTTGGTCCCTCCTTCCCCCGCTCACCTCACACCTCACACCCCTCCTCCAGTGCGCGAGTGCTTCCACCACCCCGGCCAACCCAACTATATCAAGACACGTCGTTTCGCAGACCCGTTGACGTGGTTAACGTCGCCTGCACTCATGTACGCAGCACAGCCAAACGGCGTTGATAGTGCAACGATCAATCCCGCTGCGCTCAACACAGGTATGCCACCATCACTTTTTTTTTCTTTAGTGTCTGCCCTGTCCTGCCCTGCCCTGGTGGTCTTGGAATATCTCCCGAACAGTTACCCCCCGTGTAGCTCCGTGTCGCTGGTCCCTTGAGGTTGCGGGGTGCGCGCCTTGCCCCTGCGACCGGGACTGCGTGATGGGTGCCACGGGTGCGTTTACGTTTGCGTCTGCGTGAGCGGTGCGTGTGCGTGAACCATGACGGCGGTGTTGGTCCCGGACGAGGCCCGGGGAAGGGTGGATCCACTCATTCATTCAGTCCAATATCGACCCGACTTCGATGCCGACAGGACCCTTTCGACGGAATTCGGACGGAACCTTGACGACAGCGATATCTCATTGTCATCTTCCTCCGTCCGTATCTTTGTTTTACTGCGGCGATGGGATGGCATCCAGGCCACGGAATGCGGGGAATGCCTGGGGCTTCATTCTACAGGTGCTTCCTGCGGGCCCAGAGATGCGCTGCCTTGGCCTGGGGCCGCCTGGATGGGGACTGCGACAATCCATGATCAGGTCATTGCCCCGCAAGTAACCCGCCCGCTCGGCATCCACCAACACCCCCCTCCCCGCTCCCCAGCGCCAGGGCATGGGCGCAATGGAAGTGGAAGTCGGACCTCCACCGCGCCGCTGGGATTCGCGGACTGCTCGCGTCTAGGCACTTCATCCCCGTCGCGTCAATAGATTTGCCAGTCGCTCTGCAATCTCGTTTTCTCTCTCTTTCATCTGGAAATGCTGTCACAATACCCTTGCATGTGAAATACTGACGTGCGCATCCGACCAGACTTGAGCGAGCCACCACGGACTCTCAAACGGGAGCGTTCTCCCGACGATTATCAATACTCAGGACCGCCAGGGTCTACTGGTGATGACGGTATGTTGTGCATTCCATCCTGACTGATCTTGTGTACCTGTTTCGTCTGCAATTCGGTGTGCCCCTTTCCCCTTGTTACATGTTTAGTCGTGCTACGAGGTGCTGCCGTTGAACACGCTGACACCGTTTTGCGCCCCGAACAGGTGGTGATAAGCAGCCTAGAAAGCGAGGAAGACCGATGAAGTCCAGCAGACCATCTGGGGGTGTCCCCGAGCCCGTTGGCCAGGGCCCCGTTGCGCCGTCTATCCAGCAGACACTTCCACCACAGACACCACAGAATCAGAGTGCTCCTCTCCCTCTCCCGACACAGAAATCCACGTATGCCCCCGCGCCTGCGCCCGCCCCCGCAGCCACGCCTCTCCAGGCTTCGCCGCCCAAGACGACCCCGACCAAGACGACCCTGAAAGCCCTTCCGACCGTTCGCGACCACACAACCGACCAGCTTGGCCCTGGCGGAGATGAATACTTGCCGAGGGAGATTGATGAGGCCGGTGAAAAGAAGGTTATGCCAAATGGGCAGCTTACCGGAAATCGTGAATACAGATGCCGAACGTTCTTAGTACCCAACCGAGGCGATAAGCTTTTCATGTTGGCCACCGAATGTGCCCGAGTTCTCGGCTACCGCGACTCATACCTGCTCTTCAACAAGAACAGGTCACTGTACAAGATCATAGCGAACCAGGAGGAAAAGGACGACCTTGTGAACCAGGAGATCTTGCCTTTCTCGTACAGGTCGCGCCAGATTGCCATCGTCACGGCCCGCAGCATGTTCCGTCAGTTTGGTAGTAGAGTTATTACCAACGGGCGCCGCGTCAGAGACGATTACTGGGAAACAAAGGCACGGAAACAAGGCTTCACCGAGGCTGATCTGGCCGGGGAGAAGAGACCTGGGGGAACCAAGGCCCGGGAAGCAGCCGCCGAAGCCAACCAGAACTCCATGCTCGGAGGACCTCACGGGGAGATCATCTACAACACGAACCCAGGCCCCTACGGCGCCCCGCAGCCCCTCGTACAACCAGGTATGATTGGACCGCCGCCAGCAACCTCGACCAGAATGCCCGTAATAACACTAGGACCAGATTACAATGATACCAGGAGCCGGGACTACTCGACTATTCTGAAGACTGGCCCGCGACAGGAGATCACTGGTCCTCCGTACCAGGACCGGACTCAGACTACACCTCTGTCTGATCTGCACGCCCAAGCTCACCATGCAGCCGAGTTCAACCGGGCCGTTAACCAGCAACGTGAGATGCGTGGTGAATACCTCCAAACCTTGTGGCGGAGGCCTCACGATCAAGCCACTGCCGCGAATCTAGGCCAGCCGGTCGGCTCCGAGGCATCTGCTGTCCCTACCAGCCGGCCAGCCGCATCGTCTCATGCCCCTAGTTCTGGTTTACAGCAACCTGCCATCGTGCCAAACCAGAGCCCTCAAATGATGATGACGGCGGCACCCTACTCGCAGCCCATCCATGCACAGGCTTCGGCCAGTCAAGGTACAATGAGAGGTATGGCTCCAGCTCCAGCTCAGAACAGCTCGAAGGCAACAAACTCTTCGTCAGCTCCTAGCGGAAGCATGCCACAACCCGGTCAGAACTACGGTTATACAAATTCACAGATGTGGCCCCCGACGCCCCAGACGCCGCAGCACAGCTACTCAGCCTACACTGCCCAGCCCCAACAGCCCCATTCTCAGCAATCCCCTGCTCCTCAGTTGCGACACTCGGGTTCAGGAAGCCAGGTTCAGCCAAACAACATGTCTTACTCGACCATGCCCAGCATGAACCAAGGCTATGGTGCTCCCTCACAGGGGATGTACTCTGCTGAAACTCCGCGCCAATACATGCACCAGCAGAGCGCGCCATCCCCGGCGGTTTCGCAGCCTTGGACCCAGCAACAGCAAACTGCTACGTGGTGGTCCAATCAACCACAATAGACGAAGATGGCGCTTTGCTAGGTGCGCGGTTGGTGCGGTGTGGCCAGACATGTTCTTTTGATACAGCACCATACTTGACACTTCTGTCTTATCCCAGGAGGGAAAAACGATTGCTGAAAATACACGCCTTCCGCCCGGTCATCCTTCTTCATAGTTTCCGAGTTTCAAACGTTTCAGAGATACCCCAGTATTCGAATTATTGGAGAGGCGAGCGTACCTTCTATTGGGCGGGCGTGCAATGGGTTTGTAGCATTCGGGTTTTCCGGTATCGGATTATAGAGGAGTCTGTGGGGGGTGGAGGGCTGGTTCCATGTTTGTTGGTTTTCTTTTTTCTTTAATTTTCGGATGATACCTCTTTTTGTTGGCGTGCTTGCTCAGCCGGCTCTCCGGGTCTCTACTCTCTTTCCCCCACAACTTACGAAGGTGCCCATCGGCTGTACACATATGCTTCTTGCCCACTCGGATACTCGGCTGTTTGGCAATTTTGTGGTTATTATGGCTTTTATATCAGCTATACGATTCCTGGCGATATCGTATGCTGGGGTTGCTGGACGAGGGATCTCGGCACTGCAGTGCTTGGTTCGAGGAGATAAGATGGAAGGGAAAGGTTTCTTGGTCACCTACGAGTGTTATACCCTGTTTTCGCGGTGGAGGGAATTCTGTATTTCTTTGCACTTGGCTCTCTTCGCTTCATCTCTTGTTGGGATTTTTATGACCCCCCTTTATTTGCTTTCCCAATGCAAATTTTTCCTTGGTCGCATTCGGTTAGCAAAGGAATTGTTAGGATAACGCTGGTACCAAGTAGCGGTTTAGGGTACGCTCTTCTCAAATTGGATTATCATCTTTCTGGCAATGCTCGTTTTATATCCCACCACTTCCACGTTCTCGCGTCACGTTGCCTCTTGTTATCGATGTACTGCCTCCTGTCAGTTTTTGGTCTTTTTACCCTTTCATGTCTTTCAAATTAGGTGCGGATGTACACTTGTTTTGTCGTATCAACAGTGACACAACTTCTCTGTCGAGGTCTTCAGTCAAGCTAGCTTATATCGTATTTCGTCTTGGGCTACTTGGCTCGTATTATTTTCCATTCACTTCTACCACTCACCCTCACATGATGAGGGTGGTGGTCGCCTCAGTGGCTTTATGTGTTTCTTATGCTTCCGTCATCCCTGTTTCCGACCCCGGGTATGCTATTCGATATCTGGTCGTGAACTGCTTCGAACATGTCTGGTAGTTGACCATGTTTGAATTACCAGGGTGAGTGGCTAGGCTCAACAAGCAAGTAACACTCAAGTGGAACTTGGACCGTCACTATAAATCCCATGGCCCCTAGCAAGTACATCAGCCCGAGTAGCCGTCCACGATGTTTTGAGAGTAACAGGTCGTGGATCAATTTGATTGTTTACTCCCACTGCAACTGAGAACTGTAACCGTGGCCGATTAGTCAGTTAACCCAAGTCCATCGCTACAATTGTTTAAAATCTTGTTCGACGGCATATAGCTCTAATAAAACATCACAAATGATCATTAAATATCTACTACTTTGACCATTCGGTCTACCAACCAACCTTTTAACTACCTCTCGCCTTCGTCTGTCGTAACAAATACCGCCCCATATAACCAGTTCAACATTATAACCACCTACCGCCGATGAAAAACATCTGATTACTCGACAGACACTTCCTCAAACACCTCCCCCTCCCCCTCCGCCTCTCCCTCCTCCCCCCCTTTTTTCTTCTCATCCCCATCCTTCCTCCCAGCCCTAACAACAATAACAGGCAACTCCCTCACATCCACATGCTCCTGACTTCCCAAGTCCACAATCCTCACCGCCTCGATCCCCAGCACGCCCTCCCTAAGCGCCAAAAACCTCAACTCGACCACCGCACACGCGTTGGGGACCAGCGGCCCCACGCGCGCGTCCGCGGAAAGGCAGACAACCTCGGTGCTGTCCACCACGCTGCTGCGCTGCATCGCGTGCACCACGTTATCGTCCAGCACAGCGTCGGCGATCAGTGGGTCGCGCTTGTTGGAGGGCGCCGCGGTGGAAAGGGCGCGGTGCGTGCGGACCTCGTTGCGCCGGCGTTTGGGGAGGGCGTAGAGCGCCAGCCTGCGCTGGGAGGAGGAGGCGGGGGAGGTTCCGGAGGTGGCGTTATTGGTGTTGGAGGGGGTGGTGAGGATGGCGGCAGGAATCCCGGAGGCAGCGGCGGCGATGCTGATGCTGTTGCTGCGGGTTGTGATGATGGTGTCACGGTTGGGTCCGCCGTTGGTGCCGTTGGTCATTGTTGTTGTCGAAGAAGCAGCGGAGGCGGCACTCTCTGGTTTAGTCCTGTTGACGACGAACACGGTCCAGGCAAATTCCTCGCCGGCGTACACGGGCCGGTCGGGCCCGACGAAGGTCACGGTTATCCCAAAGTCCGGGATGGGTGTCTCGAAGTTGCGCTGCGTGGTGATGGAGGCCTCGAGCGAGGGGAGCGCGTCCGGGCGGGTGACGGAGGGCGAGACGAGCGGCATCGAGTCGACGCCGCCTGAGATAGACAGCTGGCTGGGCTTGTGTCGGCGCTCGATCGGCTTCGTCATGGGCGTGCCAAAGCCTGGGTTGACGGGTAAGGTGAAGTCCAAAGGTGTGGTCCAGGACATGGTCAGTTTCGGGGTGCAAGGGTCGCCACCCTCGGGCTGAACGAGGACGGCCACCTCGACTGTTATGACCAGTTCGCGGGAGGGGTGCTTGCTGATGATGTCGAGCTGGCGCGGGGCGAGCCGGTAAAGGAAGGTGAGGTGGTCGTGGGCGACGCAGTGTAAGGGGAGGGCCATGAGGTCTTGGCTGTTGAGGTCGTCGACCGTGCCGTCGGTTACGGCTAAGTCGATCTTTTGTAGGGCGGCTTCGCAGTCGAAGAAGGGGGTGAAGTCCACCTCGAGCAAGGCGATCAGGGCTGGACTCGGTGGGCTGGTGTTGGGCCGCGCGAAACGTACTCGCGTGTGGACAACGGGGAAGACTCGAAGTCTGAGGCTCTGCATGCCCCTGAATAGACGTAGTGGTTGTTTTGTCTGCGTGACGGGGGCTACGCGGGATACTCGGAGAGCGGACAGACGGGGCTGGATACCGCCTAGCATTGGGTCGTCGGCGAAGGACTCGAGAAGGTTGAGGCCTGCTGGTGCGCAGCTTTGCATATAGCCGTCGTCGACCATATCTCGAGATTTCCTGGGGTCGAGAAGCTTCAAGCCGGCAGTTGCTGCAAAGACGATCGAGGGTGCTTGTAGTCTCATCCTTGGTCGCGATACGAAGACAGGCATCTTCCAGACGGCGTAGACGTATGAATCCCTTCCGTCATTCGCTTTGCCGTCTCCATCCTCTTCGGCCTTCTCCTTTGCATTTTCCTCCTCCCCCGTACTCAGGATTATGGCATCGGTCGTGTCTGGAACGAGTCCGGTGTAGATAATCTCAGACGCCGGAGGGCCTTCCCGGTCAGATCCATGTCCGTTCACAATCTGAGCTTCTAACGTGACGACTATACGGGATAGTGAAGATCGTAGTGTTTCCTCATATCGGCGAGGGGTACGGAGTACAAGATAGACATCAGCGGTTTCATCTGCAGGTAAGGCATGAGTAAAGTGAGAGAGCAGTGCGGATACGTGATGCCAACCTCATACCGAAAAACAGCACATCTCGTTGGCCGATGCCTTCTAGCAAGTCTGGTGGTGAAGTTACGTCTGCCTTGAAATTGGTAGCGGAGGGAATGATGTAACTGAAATTGGACTGTTCCAGAAATGCTCGGCCATCATCGTGAGTGTCATCGTCGTCAGTCATGTTATAAGCCATTGTGTTATGCAGATATGAGTGAGTGTCGTCGGTCCAGTCGTTGCCTCTCCTGGGTTTTTGTGTGAGGCCACTCAGTACTTTGGTTGCCGGTTAGGGTAGAAGATAATACTGAACACCTTCCCTGCTAATTCGGATGTGTTTGCTGGTCCAGTTATAAGTTGATAAATATATCCCGGCTTGAAATCGTTTTGATCAAGCAGATCTGATATATGGAAAGAACTACAATGAAGGCATTCAGGAGTCGTAGGTAGTCGGATCTGGCGCCGGTGTTAAGGTAACCGAGACCGACTGGCGAGGTTGAGTAACACCGCAAGTCCACAATAAACGGCAAGGGCCCGGCCGGCCGCTTTCTAGACCAGCGACAGCGACAAGCCTGGAGTGCCGGGGGCGACCCTGGAATGACAACCAGAGTAATTCGCGGCTCCACAGAAGCTGAGATGGCCCGTGCAACGCACTTCCTGGCTGCGGTCTTGGCATTTGAACCGCTTCACCCAAACTGTCAAACTGCCAAACTGCAGTGGATCCGTGCACTTTCCCGTCATTCTTTCGCCTGGGCTGTCGCGCATTTTCTTAGGGTCCTCTTCCAATTCAAGTTTTCCCGTCTTCAACCCCACGACCGCATCGCTGGCTGACCCCCGACACCCACCGTACAACTTGGTCGAAACACTGACGGAAAGGAATATATCTTTTCATCATTGACCACATACTCAACCACGATGAATCCCCTGCCCGGCGGGCCGTTCCCGGTCCAGGCGTGACCTGGCAAGAACACCGTACGCCTGATGGACGCGTGTACTACTACAACTCCCTGACGAGGGTCACGCAATGGACTAAGCCGGAGGAGCTGATGACTCCCGCCGAAGTAGGTTGATGTCGCTCTCCGCCCGTGGTCGAAACGAAGTACTAACAGTCTTCCAGCGTGCGCTTGCCAACCAGCCATGGAAAGAATACACAGCCGAGGGCGGCAAAAAGTACTGGTACAATACCGAAACCAAGCAAAGCTCGTGGGAGATGCCTGAAATCTATAAGCAGGCTCTTGGTGTTGGAACTACGACGCCGACCAGTGTTGCGTAAGTCCATTGACCCTCGCGTATTCAGCCAGACAGCGTCAGTAACTAACATCTTTCTCAACAGTACTCCTACCGGTCCTTTTTCGGCTCCCGGAGGTGGCCATCAGGGTGGATATGGAGGCGGTCAGTCCGATAACTACCGCCCCGACAACCGTGATCGTGACCGCGACCGTGACTACCGCGACCGTGATCGGGACCGTGATCGGGACTATCGCGATCGGGATAGGGACCGGGATCGTGATCGTGACCACCATCGCGACTATCGTGACCACCGCGATCACAGAGAGCCACTGGGAGAGTCACGCCAGTTGACGTTCGGCAACAACAATGCTGCTCCAGCTTTCATTCCTGCGACCGCCGATCCCGAATATGCGACGCCAGAGGAGGCTGAGGCTGCCTTCGTCAAGCTCCTGAAACGCAGTGGCGTCCAGCCCGATTGGACTTGGGAACAAACCCTTCGAGTCGTCCTCAAGGACCCTCAGTACCGCGCTATCAAGGATCCAAAGGATCGCAAGGCCGCTTTCGAGAAGTATTGCCATGATGTCATTGTTCAAGACAAGGAGCGTGCAAAGGAGAGACTAACCAAGCTGCGCGCCGATTTCGCTACGATGCTTCGGAGCCACCCGGAAATCAAGCATTACACTCGCTGGAAGACCGCTCGGCCCATGATCGAGGGCGAGACCATCTTCCGATCTACCAATGACGACAACGAGCGACGCCAGCTGTTCGAGGACTACCGTGTTGAGCTCAGGAAGGCACACAAGGACCAGCAGATCGCATTGCGCAAGAGTGCTATGGACGGTCTGATTGAGCTTCTCCCTAAGCTTGACCTGGAGCCCTATACCCGGTGGTCCGAGGCACAAGGCACTATTGAGAGCACTGCAGAGTTCCAACAGGATGAGAAGTACAAGTCCCTCAGCAAGTATGACATTCTGACCGTCTTCCAAAACCACGTCAAGGCTTTGGAACGCACCTTCAACGACTCCAGGCAAGAGGAGAAGAATAAGAAGCACCGCAAGGAGCGCAAGAACCGCGACAATTTCTGCGCTCTTCTTGCCGAGTTGAGGAAGGATGGTAAGATCAAAGCAGGATCCAAGTGGTCCAAGATCTATCCTCTTATCGAACATGACGAAAGGTACTTGGCAATGGCAGGCCAACCCGGCTCGACCCCCATGGAATTATTCTGGGACATTGTCGAGGAAGAAGAACGTGCTTTGAGAACCACCAGGAATGATGTCCTGGATGTCATTGATGTGAGTGCGCTTGAGCGTATGGCTCCTTTCGAATCTCTACTAACGAAGGATGACAGGATAAACGGTTTGAGGTCACTCCCAAGACAACTTTCCAAGAGTTTGAAGCCATTGTGAAAGATGACCGCCGCACCGCTAACATTGAGCGCGATATTCTTGAGCTTATTTTCGAGCGTGTAAGTGACCTACATCCACGGAATTCGGGAACAAATATCTGACCAGCGAAAAACAGCTTCAAGAAAAGAAGGCCAAACGCTCAGCAGATGACGACAAGCATTCCGAACGCCAGCAGCGTCGGGCCTTGGACGATCTTCGTTCGTACCTTAAGAGGTTGGAACCTCCCATCACGGTCAATGATACTTACGAGCAGGTAGAGGGCCGCATTGCTCAGAGCGACGAGTTCAAGGCCGTCACTTCGGACGAGGCTCGCCGCGGTGCCTTCGAAAAGCATATTCGCCGCTTGAAAGAAAAGGAAGAAGAGGCCGAAAGAGACCGTTTGCGCCGTCGTGATCGCGGCGACTCGTACCGGGACAGGGGTGAGCGCTCTCACCGCAGCAGTGCCCGCTCCGCTCGGAGCCGCAGTCCAGAACACGATCCATACGAAGCAGACCGCCGCAAGGCAATCGCCGAGCGGGAACGCAATTTCCGCAAGTCCAGCATGGCAGAGAGCCTGCTTTCGGACCGCAGGTCAGTAGATGGTCACCATGACTCTATTCGAGACAGAGAGAGAGATCACGATCGCGAGCGTGATCGTGATCGTCGTGACTACCGTGACCGTGATCGTGAGCGGGACAGAGACCGTGAACGTGACCGTGATCGCGAGAGAGACAGGGACAGAGATCGGGAGAGAGACCGCGATCACCGGGATAGAGACCGCGCCCGTTCGCGTGAACGCGACCGTGATTACGACCGCCGCCCTCGTCACGACGAGCTCAACCATTATGACCGGGAACGACGCAGTCGCGATGAGGATAGGGAAAGGATCTATCGCAGGCGAGTAATGGATCGCGATGTTGATGAGCTGCCATATGGTGACGAGAGACCCAGCTCATCCCGCCGCGCGCGCCCCGAAGAGGACGACCATGACCGCAGGCCCCCGGCAAAGAGAGTCAAGACCGAGCCGAGCACCACCGCTGCTCCTGCCGCCGGTGCTACTGCCGCTCCCGCCACCGCTCCCGCCGTCAAGGTCGAGGCTACGAACCCCGCCTCTGATGGCGTCAAGTCGCCACAGCCTCCAAAGCAACAAGAGAAGGAGAAGACGCCACCGCCGCCTGCTGTTGTCCGTGCGGGTAGCGAAGAGGGCGAGATTGAGGAGGACTAAGTGCCTGACTCCGTCCAATTCCTGGCTCCAAGCCAGGAATTGTCGAGGTTACGGATGGGTTATGTTGACCTCCGCCTGAAAGCGTTGGGAAGTCCGGATGGCTATATATGCAGTCTAAAAGTACTCTCGTACGTGTTTACCACCACCACTTCCCATCTCTAATCATCAATAGCAAAGTCCTTTTTTCCTGTACTTGCCTTTTTCTTCTTTGTCTTTTTTTTATAACTCAGAGCATTGTCGACATCGGGTCTTTCGTTTCGGCTTTGGCCAGGTAGAAAAAATTGCATGCGTAAAGAGAAAATTTGGATACACAACGGGGCAATCTAAAACGACGCGCCATCCATGATCGCTCGCTCGCTCGGTGAGTCGACAATATCCTTTCGTTGCAATATTTGTGCGGGTCGAAATGCTTAATGACTTAAAATAACTATGTGTCCATGGTCCTACATACTGGTTGGTGAGTTTAGCTTTCCTCTCGTCTCTTTCACTGAATCGTCGTCTACTTAATGGCGGGGAGACGATCACACATATCATTTTGTCTATCAGGTCAGTCAACTGATTTCCGTACGTTCAATTAAGCCTTCACTTCGTTAGTCAGTTCACCTGTAAAGATGAATGAAGTGGAAGAGGCATAAATAACTGAACAGCGAGGGGAAATAACAAGAAATGGAACAAGAGTCCACAAAAGACAACAGTAACAATAGACAAAAGTAAAAATATGAAGAAAAACCCTTCACGCTCTAATCATGACAGTTTATTTCCAAGATGAATCATGACGGCCTCTACCTTCTCGTCTTAGTCATCGTTTGTGCTTCTTATGGCCCAATACTCTACGTTCAGAATGGTTCTCTGCGTCATCTTTGGTATACTTCTTCCGTACAGGATCTCGTGACATCGTGGCGATCAATAAACATAGTAGAATTGATATTTGTATGTTGCCAGTGTAAAATTCAACGTGTATAGATCACAACTACTCAGTTCGATCGATTGCCTCCCATCTCATTCCTCCTCCTTTCCCATTCTTTTTCCCTTTGGCCCTCCCGAAATCGTCGCTGGGTTTCAAGAGTGCCTCCCGGCGGCAGTCGCCCTGCTTGACCCGTTGCCTCTCAATCTACAAAAAGTCCAACCATCCTAGGTGAATAGGCGGCTTCCCCCGCGTCCGTTGTTATAGTTAACCCTCAAGCAAGGGTTTCGTCAAAACACAGTGTAAAAATGACAAGCGCAAAATGTGACGGGGGGAATTCTCTTCTCTTTTTTGTAGGACCAGGCAACAGGGGACAGACTGCCGCCGCCGGGGTTAATCATCCGGCTCGTCATCCTCGGAGGAGGCGTCGAATTCTGAACCAGAACGGCCGCCGCCGCTACCGCTACCGCTACCGCTACCGCCATCATCCCTGGCGCCGCAATGAATGGAGGAACTGCCGTTTTCTTTTTGGACGCCTAGAACGCCGGAATCCGATGCATCATCATAACAGCGGCGGTGGTGTTGGGTATTGCCTCTGCCGCTGTTTTTATTATTCTTGTGAAGAACATCCCTGGAGATGCCCTCTTTAACTGCTCTTCTCGGGATCGTCCAAGAAGAACTGTGGAAAAAGAGACATGTCAGTATCAGGTTGCAGCATGCGGATAAACCACAGATTGATGCAGGATGAAAACTTACGTAGTTGCCGCCGAGCTTCTGCTCCTGGTCGAGCTGAGAGTTCAACTTGTTGATACGAGGGCGGTAGTTGGTAGGATCACGACGGAAAGTGACATCAAGGTTCTTCAAGAAGGTGTTGCAACCGGTGAGCAGAGACTCGGGCTTGTTAGCGTGAGCGTCGATACCGGGCTGGCCATCGAAGACAATGACGCGGTCGGCAAGGTAGGTGGCCATGATGAAATCGTGTTCGACGATGAAGGCGGTCTTCTTGGCGTGCATGATGAAACGCTTGATGACACGGGAAGCAATGATACGCTGCTCGGAATCGAGGTCTAGAGGGAGGTTAGCAATGCATTCCAAAAGGTGAGGGGGAAGACTGTTCACGTACAGGCAGAAGGCTCATCAATGAGGTAGATATCAGCAGGGATACCGAGAGCAAGAACGATAGCAACTCTTTGAAGTTCACCACCGGACAAATGCTTGACTTCCTGATCAATGAAATCATCAAGCTTGAGGGGCTTGACGACATCAGTCTGGAACTGAGGAGACAAGAAAGCAGCCTTAATCTTCTTGAAGAAGAGTTGGCGAACGGTACCCTCGAACTTGGGAGTAATGGTCTGGGGCTTCATGGAGATCTTCATCTCAGGAACCCTCTTGGTACCATCAGGCTTAAGAACACCGGCCAAGAGACGGCAGAAGGTGGTCTTTCCGGTACCGTTCTCACCCATCATGACGATAATCTCGGAATCAGAGAAGGAACCAGCGTCGATGGACAGGTGGAAGTTGCCCATGGTCTTCTCCATGGCAGGGTACTTGAAGGCGCGCGTCTTGTCCTGGATGAACTCCTCAGTGCCTTCGGCGATGCGGAAGGTCAAGCTCTCGTCACGGAAACGCAAGTTCTCGGTAGGGATGTGACCGTCGAGGAAAATGTTGATACCTTCACGGACGGAGTGAGGAAGGGTGACGACACCGTAGACGGCGGGCTGACCGTAGAGACAGCAGACGTAATCGGAGAGGTAATCGAGGACGGACAAATCGTGCTCGACGACGATGACGTAGTCGTCGGGGCGGAGGAGGGAGCGAATGATGCGGGCGGCGCTCAATCTTTGCTTGACATCGAGGTACGAGGAAGGCTCGTCGAACATGTAGACATCGGCCTTTTGAACGCAGACGGTACCGATGGCGAAACGCTGAAGCTCACCACCGGAAAGGAGGGTGACATCACGATCGTAGATATGGCGCAACTCTATTCGGAATCAGCCATGGCGTCCAAACACCCAAGTTATGAAGCGCAAAGCATGTTGAACCTACCAAGGGTGTCGAGAACCTCGTCGAGGTTGTCAAGGGAGCGGCGGCCCTCAATGAGGAACTTGACGCTCTTATCGGGGGTGCGGATAGCCTTGGGGATCTGGTCGACGTACTGGGGCTTGACAACAGCCTTCAGGTCATCCTCAAGGAGCTTGGTGAAATAGTCTGCAAACGTGTCAACCCTCTGATCTCCTTCCATTCAGGTATCTTCCCTTACTCTGCAACTCAGAACCGCGGAAATACTTGATGACGTCCTCCCAGTCCGGCGGGTTGTCGTATCTGCCAAGGTTGGGCTTAAGCTTTCCGGAAAGAATCTTGAGGGCGGTACTCTTGCCGATACCGTTTGTTCCGACGAGACCCAAAACGTTGCCGGGACGGGGCATGGGAAGACGATGGAGCTTGAAGCTGTTGGCGGCATAGCGATGGGTGATCTGGCTCTCGAGGTTGGTGGGCAGGTTGATAATGGTGATGGCGCCGAAGGGGCAGCGCTTGGGGCAGATACCACAACCAATGCACAGCGACTCGGAGATAAAGGCGATGCGCGACTCGGGGGCCACCTATAACTCGGATGTCAGGAGGATGTTGTCGCGCAAAACACGGGGATCGTAAGGGGGCCGGAGAGATATTACCTCGATCTATTAGAGAGCAGTTAGTTAGTTGCCTGGTCGTGATACCGCAAGAGGGCTATGGACGAGGGAGGAGAGCTTACACAGAGTTTACCGGAGCGGACGACGGGGCATGACTTCTTGCATTCCTGGCGACACTTCTTGGGCTTGCACTTGTCGCTACTGACGATAGCGATACTATAGACACGAAACAGGTGTGGTCAGCAAGATGGACAGGCATAAGACGGCGCATACGGCCAAACCAGCGCAGGCCAGTCGCGGCCGGTGCTTCTGTAAGCATCGCACACATGCGTGCGGCCTTAATCGTTGGGAACGCACCGAGTGAGTTTGTCCGACATCTTGTCTGTGGTTTCGCTTTGCGAACTGGTCGAGATGGGTAAATTTGGGCGGACCGCTATCCTAGGCGCAAAACGGGAAACGGGGGAGGGGGAGAAATTCTCAAGGTGCCGCACGTCTCGGAATGCTACCAGCAGAGTGGAGAGGTCCAAACAAGGCGGAGGAGGCTGACACGACTTCTCCAGAGGCAACGTGGGTCGACGTCGGGTTGCGGGTTTCTGGACAATGTCCTCGTCTCGAAAAAATGTCAGGACAGCTGCACCGTGCGCCGAGTCTGGTGTGTGGAGGGCAGGAGGGGCAGGGCAAATCGCGAAAAAAAGACCCCGCTTGCCCTGTGTTAAAGTCAACGCTAAACCAACATGGCAACAAGGTAGGGGCTAGCTCAGTGTAAGCTGAAATATGCCACGATTGATAGGTTACCAAAAGTCCACTGTTCCCGCTGTTCCATACGTCCCCTACCTTACTCTCTCTCTCTCCATCATCTTGTCTTTTACCTCAGGCTATCTTCAATATCCCCGAGGCTCTCTAAACTTGTGGTCGTACTACCTAACTAAAGCTCTTGTTTACACATTGTTCAAGGGTTGTTGCGGCTGGTCGTGTACATTGAGATTTTACCATTGTTCTTGTCTCTTTGTTCCGTTTCCGCATCCCCTCGAGCTTCCGCTTCCTTTCAGCAGAATCTCTGTCTAAAGGTACTTTGGTACAGTGACCCAAATGGCATCATGGATAAGTTTACAACATTGTGTGCTATCTTTGCTGAGGTTTGGTTGTTTCTGGTTATCGGCCAAAATAATTCGGTTTCTGCTGAACACAACCTTTACATCGCCCATTTGCCGGACATATACACACCGCTTCACTGGACGACTACACCATGGACGATGGATGATAGCTGGGTAGATTCGCTACCAAAACTACTCTCTTTTGCAAGTGATCATTGCTTTCTCCGTGGGCAATCACATCCGACCCATCTCTACACAAGGGAGCAGGTTGGAGCCTACGCTATCTCAGCATGTCTCTGGTACTCCTAACAAATTGTCAATGGCGGCGTATCGTTTGTTTGGATGCAAGTATGGTCGACGACATCAAGTTTGTCATGAAGTTCTGTGGGCGGAGGTGCATGTGTTAGGGTTGGCAACAGGACGCGGAGTCCTCCCACCACCGTATCGATATTCGAAAAGGAAATCTCTCGCAGCATGATGCCGTCAACAGCCACGGTGCAGAGAGGCGCAGGGTTACTGATGGCCGCGCAGTCAAACCGGACTTCCGAAGCTGTGATGGCTACCCATCGACGGACGTACATTATCTTTACCTTGGCCGGGCAGGAACTCACAACAATATGGTCCGAGTTAGGTGGCCGAGGTAGCTTATGCTACGCGGCGTTGTCGACAGCAGAAGCTGAAATCGCCATGCAAGACGTTGCGGATAGTTGGCAACGGAATGCCAGGTGATGAGATTAGCAGTTAAGTGAAGCTGAGTTGGTACTTCAGCGGCAACGGGATCGGGTGGGTCCATCCCCGTCCTGGACGTATCTGCCGTGCTGCGTCTTGGGGAAGGGATGCTCTACCCACTTGGACACCACAATGTCGTCCTCAAAATATCAAGGGATTCTGAAACTGGTAGTTTCTTCGGTAGTGAGTTAGGCACGAGACGAGGACAACATCTTTTTGATTATTTACCTATGGTTCTCTCATGGCAGTTTTTGCGGCTCTCGGATCTCGTTCAAGGTGGAATCTTGGCTTGGATAGACGTGGCCCCGCAGCACAGTCACTTACAAGATATTGTCGGCCTGGCTTGCCTGCGTCGGCTTGCTGTACCTATGCCCTCTTCGGAACTCCAGTGGCGGGAACATCACCTCACCTCGGAGCCGGTCCAGTGCTCGCGGTGTGACAACCTGCTCTGGCACCAAGACGATACCTACCTCTACCAGTGCATGGCTGGCACCTGCGCCGGAGCTGACAAAGAATAATAGCACCTCGAGGCCAACATGCCTACCTAGAAAAGCCGAGCGCCGTCTACGTAGCTTGTCGTCCTTCTTCATCCTTTACCACCTCTTTGATTTCCCCAAGTCGCACCAACAAGGTAGTCCATGTGCCATCAACCCACGACAACACCTCTCTGAATCATTGATCTATCAACCATTCCATCTCTAGAGGTAGGTATTCTTCGTGATCGATCAACAAACCATACCTCTACCTCCAAACCGATCGAATAATCGGCCACACATCTCACCTGCCTCATACCGCCCGCGCCGTCTGGAAGGGCACGATCGGAGTCCGTGGGCAACCAACGAGTTGGCAAGCTCCAGCAACTACATCCGACCAGGGCAAGGCCAGGCTCGAGCCGCGTTGGTTTGTTTCCTCTCATTCGTCCTTTCTGACCTAAACTTACAAGAAAGATTGAGCTTACAGGTCTTCGTCACACAATTGAAATCCGTGCGTTGTGGCGGGCAGAACGGCAAGGATCGTGACAGCGCCCATCTGACTGCATTGGGCAAGTGTACTTTCTGGTGCTAGGTACCGTCCAGCAAAGAGAAGAGTGAAGTGGTACCTCAAAAACGTAAGTTCACAAGACGTGCGTTACATTTCGGTTTCTGTATTTACAGAGCTGAACCCTCCAATACCAGCTTTTGGCAGCAGCTGAGAACCTGAGAGCCTGCTGTGCTAGTGTAGGGACGCCCCACACTCTGGAGGTCGCTTCCAAAAGCCCCAACCAATCAGCGCTCGGAGCCGAGCAAGCATTGAGCTGAGGGCAAGCGGGCCTCGTCTGAAGCACAAGCCAGGCAGTGGCCCACTGCGCACTGGTGTTGCTGGTTCTGGTTCACCATTTTCATGGATTCTTCTCCTCCGTCCATCACTGCGATTTTCCGCTACACCATCACCACTGCCAGCCCCCTCCCAGGGTCTCCGGCCTTGACCATTTCCCCCACCACCACTCCTCCGGCACTGCGATTTTCCATTTCGGACTTGAAGATTCGCCCTTCAGTCTGCTGCCTGGAGGCTCTTAATTCTTCCATGACTTGTGAGTCCTGCCACTGCCGCCCACTGCCCACGGCCCATCGCCTCCTGCGTGCCCTGCCCTGCGTATCGCCTTGCGTTTTCCCCATCATTTCGCCCATCGAAGCGGGCCTCGTCGCCTTCGATATCCATCGTCTACCAGCTTGTAGAGGTCGCCAGACCGTCGATTCTTGATGAATATCGTCTCTACAGCTGCCCCAGACCATGGCCTGCTCTCCCGTGCCCTCCACGCGCCCACACGCGACTTCAATCGTCGTCGCCGTCCGCCTCATCATCCACAGCCTTGCCTCCATCACTTACACGCGAGCCAATGCGACAATCATCATTGAGAGTCGTCCTCTGCCCCGATGCCGGATTTCTCTGATGATTCCGGGTCGCGAGAGTGGCCTCTTTCCATCGCCCCAAGTAGTGATCCGTAAATGACGCGTACCGCTGGCTGACATCGTCGTCTTACAGCAGGCAGCCTCCGCGTCTAAATCTCAAAATGTCGACATCTCCCGAATCCGGTCCGGTGTTCGGGCATGTGTCACCGCCGGCGGATGACAGCCACTTCAACTTTACCAACGATAACGAAAGCACGAGCGACCTTTCTGACGTTAATGCCGCCGAGGCCGACCCAAATGACGACGCCGACGCCCAGTCATACCAGCCTGTCGACGACGACGCTGCCTCGCCCATACAAAAGCCCGAGTTGACGCCCGAGGAAGCGTCCGATTCAGCAAGTAATGACGACGTCGACGCGTCAGATGATGGAGACTTTGACGCCCCCGATAGCCCCGGGTCTGCTCAGAGCAACGAAGTCGTGTCTGCCTCGTCGTCCCGTACCGCCGTGAAGCGCAAAGTCGCCCACGCCATAGAGGATGATTACATTAGAGAGAATCCTGCCTTGTATGGATTGAGGAGGAGTGTATGAATATCCCGCAGTCCTTGATCTGGTGTATCATGCTAACGGCTCGCAACAGTCGCGCCCTACACAACGCCGCGCCCAGATTGTAAGTGGATTAACCTGGAGCTCTCATCGTTTCGCCTCTCCTAACCGAGTAAACAGGTCGACTCAGACGAAGAGGATGAACCATCAGACTCGGATGCTGCACCAGTGTCTAGAAAGCCAGCGAAAAGGCGTCGGGTTGAGCGCTCGTTGCCTCGTAAGTTTCGTCCGTCATACTCATCGTCATCCTGTTCCGCTGCTGACCTGTCGTGATTTCCAGCTTCCAAGCGTGGCACCCCTGCTCGTCAGCCCTCCATCGATGATTCCGATTCCGACACATACGGAGGCGCCAAAGCCCGCAGCTTCCAGAGGAAGGTCCGCAGGCAACAAGAACAAGACCCTGCTTTGGCTTTCGGCGAAAAGAGATGGTCCAGCCGTCGGGCTGCTCAGGTCTCGGCTGGCGCCTACCAAGAGAGCGACGCGGAAGAGGACGAGGAGGAAGACTCCGAGCTTACACCCAACTACTGGGCTGCCAATGCCGAGGACAACTCCCCATACATCGAGAAGATCCTCGGTCATCGTCCGAAGGAGGGTGTCGAGATCACAGTGGATGCCACAAGGCACGACTTCGCGTACTTCATCAAATGGCAGGGCCAATCACATTCTCACAACACCTGGGAAACCACCGAGACTGTCGCAGGCTTCCGAGGCTTTCGCCGCCTCGAAAACTATTACAAGAAGGTTGTTGAGTACGAACTGGAGATGCAATTCGGTGGCGATGACATCAGTCCGGAACAGAAAGAGCAGTGGTACTTGGACAGAGAACGCGAACAAGAGGCTCTCGCAGACTACACAAAGGTCGAACGCGTTGTGGCAGTCAGAGATGGCGATGAGGGCACCGAGTATTACATCAAGTGGAAGGGCCTGCAGTACGACGAGTGCACCTGGGAAGCTGAGTCTCTGGTCACCAAGCTTGCTCAGGACAAGATCGACCAGTTCATCGACCGATCCAACCGTTCATGGCAGTCTGATCGCAAGCAGACCAACCCCGATACCCGTTCGAGGATGACAAAGCTGGAGAAGCAGCCTGACTACATCAAGGGCGGCGAGCTTCGTGAGTTCCAAATGAAAGGCCTCAACTTCCTTGCCCTCAACTGGGTCCGCGGTAACAATGTCATCTTAGCCGATGAAATGGGTCTGGGTAAGACGGTTCAAAGCGTCTCGTTCCTCAGCTGGCTACGGAATGAACGCGGCCAGGAAGGACCGTTCCTTGTCGTCGCGCCTCTCAGTGTCATCCCAGCTTGGTGCGATACCTTTAACCATTGGGCTCCGGATATCAACTACGTCGTCTACCTTGGCCCGGAGGCAGCCCGGTCCAACATTCGAGATTACGAACTTTTTGTGGATGGTAACCCGAAGAAGACCAAGTTCAACGTCTTGGTCACTTCCTATGACTACATCTTGGCCGATGCGGATCATCTCAAGAATATCAAATGGCAAGTTCTTGCTGTTGACGAGGCCCATCGCCTCAAGAACCGAGAGTCCCAGCTCTACATCAAGCTCAACAACTTCGGCGTTCCTTGCAAAGTCCTCATCACCGGCACACCCATCCAGAACAACCTGGCCGAACTTTCAGCCCTTCTCGACTTCCTTAACCCGGGCAAAGTCGTCATTGATGAAGAGCTTGAAGCGCTGTCCACTGCCGACAGCAAAGGTCCGACTGATGAAGAACAAGATGAGGCTAGGCGTATCAGGACTCAAGAGAAGCTCCGCGAGTTGCATCAGTCAATCGCTCCTTTTATTCTCCGTCGTACCAAGGAGACAGTCGAGTCGGATCTCCCCCCCAAAACCGAAAAAATCATCCGAGTCGAGTTGTCTGACGTGCAACTCGACTACTACAAGAACATTCTCACACGCAACTACGCTGCCCTCAGCGACGCGAGTAACGGCCACAAGCAATCTTTGCTCAACATTATGATGGAGCTGAAGAAAGTCAGTAACCACCCGTACATGTTTCAGGGTGCCGAGGAGCGTGTCCTCAACGGAAGCACCCGCCGTGAAGACCAAATCAAGGGTCTCATTACTAGCAGTGGCAAGATGATGCTTCTTGATCAGCTGCTGGCGAAGCTCAAGAAGGACGGACATCGTGTCCTGATCTTCAGTCAGATGGTCAAGATGCTGGACATCTTGGGTGACTATCTCCGTGTTCGCGGATATCAATTCCAGCGACTTGACGGTACCATTCCTGCTGGCCCAAGACGTATGGCCATCAACCATTTCAACGCCGAGGGCAGCGACGATTTCTGTTTTCTTTTGTCTACTCGTGCCGGTGGCCTTGGAATCAACCTCATGACGGCTGATACTGTCATCATCTATGACTCGGATTGGAATCCCCAGGCCGATCTACAGGCTATGGCTCGAGCTCACCGTATCGGCCAGAAGAGGCCTGTCAATGTCTACCGCCTCGTGGCCAAGCAGACTATTGAAGAGGAAGTTGTGAAGCGTGCTCGCAACAAGCTCTTCTTGGAGTATCTTACCATCCAGGCCGGTGTAACAGATGAAGGCAAGGCCCTCAAGGAGCAGTTCAAGGAGCGCGGCCTCAAGATGGATGAGGCCAAGACTGCTGAGGATATCTCGATGATCCTCAAGATGCGTTCCCAGAACCTGTTCGAACAGTCCAGCAACCAGCAGAAGCTGGAGCAGCTCGATATCGATGCTATCCTTGAGAATGCCGAGGTCACCAAGACCGATGTCGATGACAAGATCAACCTCAGCAGTGGTGGTATCGACTGGGATAACTGGATGCAGGTTACCGACGTCAAGGTCGACGATCTCGCCCTTGACTGGGATCAGATCATTCCAACCGAGCAGCTTGCTGCCATCAAGGCGGAGGAAAACAGAAAGAAGGAAGAAGAGTATTTGGCGAAGACTATCGAGGAAAATGCTCCCCGAAAAGCTGCCTTGAAAGGCTCGAAGAAGAGCGCAGAAAACGATCGGGCTGAGCGTCTGGCAAAGAAGCGACAACGCGAGAGGGAGGAGCAGGAGGAGCTCGAAGAGCAACGTGCATTGCTTTCCGATCCTAAACGCCCTCTCAATGAGAAGGAAACCCGCAATCTTATCAGGGCGTTCTTCAGGTACGGTTCCCTGGACGACCGCGAAGAAGAGGTTGTCCAAGATGCTCGCCTGAGTGACAGAGACCGGGACTTCCTGAAGTCTATCATCGAGGACCTTGTCATTATCAGTCGCCGCGCTGTAGATGCGAACAATGAGAGACTTCGCGAAGAAGAAGCGAGGGCCGGCAAGCCACTAGCGAAGAAAGACAAGAAGGCCGTACTCGTCGATTTCGGCGAGGTACGGAAGGTCAACGCAGAGACTGTTGTGGAGCGCCCCCCTCAGCTCAAACTTCTGCGCCGCGTCCTTCGGGAGTGTAGCGATGTCCTCTCTTTCAGGCTTCCTGAAGCTTCCAAGGCTGCCGCATATACTTGCGACTGGGGTGCACGTGAGGATGCCATGCTCCTTATTGGAATCGACAGGTACGGATTCGGTGCCTGGACGCAAATCAGGGACGATGCTGAATTGCAGATGCATGACAAGTTCTTCTTGGAGGAGCATCGCGTTGACAAACGGGAAGAACGAAAGAAGACAGAGGCGGTAGGGATTCAGTCCCCCGGTGCTGTTCATCTGGTCCGAAGGTCCGAGTACCTCCTGTCTGTTCTTTTGGCCAAGCACTCGAATGACGCTGCTGCTAAGAAGGCAGTTGAGAACCATCATCGCAGCAAGAAGCTTCTCACAAACAACGGCCATCGCCGCGGTGAAGCTAGCTCCATCTCCGGATCACCTGCACCACTGGGCGTTAAGAAGTCTATTCCTCACAGGGACCATCACTACCGGACTCTCAGCACCGCGAATGACCGCGGAACCCCCAGGCCAGATCACAAACGGAAGTACGCGGATGACTACGAAGAGCACAGCTCGAAACATCGTCGTGTAGAAAACGAACGTCGTGGTACAGATAGCAAAGTTGACAAGAAGAAGGACAAAGCGCCCAAGGTCGACCCCGAAACCCATGAGAAATGGAAGCGAGACAGGCAGAAGGCAGTAGAGCGCTTCCATGAACTTGCCAAGTTGAACAACGACGAGATCGATAGCTCGGACAACTTCCAACTTGTTTGGTCTCTACTTCGGCCGCTCAAAGCGAACATGGAACGAATCATGTACTCTAAGGAACGTTTTCCTGCGGCCAAAGAACGCGCCAAAATATTGGGAGAAGAGATTCGCGCATTTGGCAACTTTCTCAAGCAACTGGAAGAAAAGAGCCCGCTGGATGGCTTGGAGCCACAGTTCTGGTAAGTCTGCAGACGCAGTCAGATTTTGCTTATTTCCACTGGCTAACGATATATGCAGGGAATTCCTTTCTTCGATCTGGCCGATTGGGGAAGTCAGGGTGTCGGGCCGGCGACTCCAGCGTATGTTCGGCGACCTTTGCAAGAAGGATACCGAGCCCAAGGAGGACAGACCTCAGAATCTGAAGAAGCCAAGTCGCCCGGATCTGGAAGATGGCGAGATTGCCAGCGATCGCGACGACCGAAGATCTCGTGACCCTTACCGCGACGACCGCCGTGAGGACCGGCGCGAAGAGCGACGTGAGGAGCCTAAACGGCGCCCGAATTATTACGAGAACGGCGATCGACTCAATTTTTATCGCCATCGTAGGGACACCGACAGGGGAGCACCGGTCCGTCACTCGTGGCAGAGCAGCCGCAGTCCCTCTCAGCAGCAACGGCCTTACTAAGGGCTGACTCTGGTCCATGAAGATTTCCCCCATCAATAATTGTTACTCAGCTCTTGCATTGTCTGGCGTACGGGTTTAGATATCTCGACTGGGGTTGTTGTTCTGTTTTTGTTTTGTTTTTTTCCGCTCCCCTATCCACATGTGGGAGTTGACAAGCACAGCACACGGTGGTGGTGTTGCTTTGGAACAAGCGATACCTGTGATGAGGAGTTTATTTTATGTTACAAAAGGTCGCGCGTGTTTTAGGAAAGGGTTGATTCAGCATTATCTTACCATTGCTGGTGATAGTTATCCTTGTTGTTATGTGTGGTTGGTGCAAGAAACCGCGTGCGCCGATGCAGAAAACGAAAGGCACGCAAGCAAGCGTTCTACTACCTATTAGTCAGGCAACTCATCAACATCGATGCCTGATACAGTTTTGGTTTTTCTTTTCTCCAATTATCTCAATAACAACAACAACAACAACAACAACAACAACAACAACAACAACAACAACAATAACAACAACAACAACATAAAACGAAGGGGTATGGAACATGGTTGGTCGCTTCTGCGGTCCTGCAAAGCGTACAAAGAAGGGAAAGAAAACACACTGTTCGATACCTCTTGTAAACCACTCGAGGATCACTTTATTGAGGACAGGGGATGATGATTGATGGAAAGACAAAGAGAAGGAACCGTGCGTTGTTATTGTGTGTTTTTTGCCCCACTCAGCTTCTGAGAGTGGTTACAGTTTAACTTAGAGAGAGATAAGAGGAGAGAAGAGAACATTGCTATGATATCCATGAAAGAAGCATCACCGATGTCATTTTCTTCCGGTCTGTTTGTTCTTGTTGTCTTAAAAAAGGAAGCGTTTGTCATGAGTTAAAACTTCAGCAATATTATGATCGGTCTGAGAGCGCGTTGTTGTTGTTGTTCTTTTTCTGTCCATCGTTATCTGTGTATCATTTAGACGGCCTACACTACGACTTCCTCTCCATTTCCTCTCTTCTTCTGTTTCAAAAAGGGTAGCTGTGAGCGTAGTTAGACTTCTCTGTTGCAACATCGATATTGGGGAGACCCCATACAAAAACACCAACTTCGTGTCCTTCGGTAACACTTGGCCATCGAACACACTCAATGCCCCTCGAAGATCGTCCCGCAACCCCATCAGCCAGGGATGCACCGCCGTCACGTAATCATGAATCGTCACAAAGCCCGTCGTCGTCGAGCTGCCCGCCTTGACCACCAAGTCCTCGTAAACCTTGCTAGGCCGGCTCTCTTGGCAACAGTAGCAGTATATCAACGTTCCGCTCTCGTCAATGTCCTCGGGATTCTCCGTATCCTCTGCGTGCGGCTCGTGATACTCGCCCCAATCCCCCACCCACCAGCCCAAGGGTACTATTTTGACCTTGAGCTCTGACACCCCCGGTACGGATACCGGGGCTTTCGAAATCGGGTGCCATGCCGACGGCGATTCGTCCCCGTCGTCGTCTTCGTCGTCGCCGCCGGTGGACGTGACTTTGTGGCGGAAATACGGCTCGCGCGGGCCGTTGAGGTCGCCACGAAGTTGGCGAATGGTAACAATTGGCCCGTTGACGGGACGACTTTGGAGGACGGAAATGGTGTTTTCCGAATCGAGGGGGTCGTTGAGGGACCAAAAACAGGCGCATCATTTCGGCGCTGGGTCTGATACTTGGCGGGGACTCCACCCTGGATGATAGAAATGATGGTGGCCCTGAAGGAGTTTCGTTGGCTTTAACTTGGCCAGGTGGGGGATGGTTGTCTTCTGACGGTAGTGACATGTTTGTCTGGTTCTGGCTTTAGTAAGCCTAGAATGGTTGATGTGGTTTGTGAAATGAGGATGGCCAAGGATGGGAGGAGAAGCAGATAGACAGGCAGGCTGTCTTCTAATTTATAGGAAGACACATTCGGACTTACTTGTATCTGTCCACTATCAAAAATGCCCGGGATCGTTCACCAACTGCATTTTCAAATGGGGCAAGCGGGATTAGAGTGCAGTTGGGCTGCTGCTACCTAGAGGTGTCGTGAAGGAATTGAAGCAAGTGAAATGTATATTCTACTGTGTAACGAGCACGCCAAGAGGTGCAGCGGATGGGTTAATTATACTTGCTGTTACATAGCCCTTCATGTGCCCTTGACTCTTTCCCCATTAGCCGAGCTTGAGGTTTACTATGTACGCAGACGACACTCGCTCACCGTTGAGATTTTCCTCAATGCTTGCATTCACCAGACTTGATTCAGGACGTGGCTTGTCCAATCGAACACGCCTAAAGGTGGCTAGGGAAGATTCTATCGCTTAAAACATCCTAAAAATGGATCCATATTTCGCAATGAGGGGATGGGAGGAGAGGGAGGCAGTGTGCCTAGAGGTCAATAATAAAACTTTATGCAAAGCGAAGGGGTAAGGCTTTTTCGAAGTTGACTTGACCTGACGTAGTGTAAGTATATTGCCTTGAATATTGCTTGTTGGAATTTGGCAGATCTTGACTGTCTGGTATACGACTTAATGTCCATCTAGGCTCTGTGCATTCCTCCATACAACCAGGTGGTGGTCATCATACTAGTATGTACGCGTCTGAACGTCAGGAGTCAATATCAGGGGCTTTAACTTCACCATTGCACTGGTTCCTGACGGCATCTCACAATCTCAGCAGGGAGTAATTCTCATCGGTAGTATGTATGATCATCTGGTGAGTTGGTAACTCGTACACTGCTTAGTTAGTCTATGAATGGCCTCAGTGTGTTGTTACTTCAAGGACCAGGCTGCACTTTGAAGCGGGCGGGACATCAAGGTGATGGCTGACCGGAGATATTGGCGAATCAAACTCCTCGGTAAGTTGTAGCCCGTCATAGATCTTAGCTTCTGATTTGTCTCTTCTTATCATAGAGGTGGTCTCCCTTCAAAGCCTCAATCCGGCATCTCCGGTAGCCTGCTCTCAAGCAGCACATGTAGCAAGATGGTGAGCCAGTACCTCATACTTAGAATAACAGCGGCGATCAACTTGCATGAGATAGAAACTTCAAAACTGGTTCTAGAGTTGTTCAATATGCCTTGGGGGTTAGGCTAGGTGGACTCATGCACACAACCCTCGTGCGCACCATGATGAAGCTGAACATTCATGCATGATAATAAGGCATCCAGGAGTGCCGTTCTAGATCATGAATGGACGCCACACATGTAGGTACTGGGGGCATGAAGAGGAACGTCAGGCTGCGCAACGATGCTCCGCCAATCCAAGGACGCCTTAGCAGGCCGGGCTTCATGATTCGTCGTGACAAGGGAACAGAGCCGCTTCAAACGCCGAAGAAGGTCGGCACTTAGAGGAAGAAGCATCACCACTGCCGCAATTCGGGCGTCTCTTTGGTCTCAGCGATGATATTTTCAGGAACTTATCATGGAACGATGCGTAGCCGACTAGGAGGGCCGAGTGAACATATCGCATGATTTTAAAAGGTCCGGACCTTTCCCACTCTTTCTTTCTGCTATCCTTCTTCCCACATCTCATCCCTACACTTTAGAGGACAACTCCTATACCAGGTTGTACACCAACGACACAGTTTTACTTGGTATATTGCGGATTCCTCTGGAACTTGCCCCGAAACCCCAAACTCACGGCAATTTTCAAGCTTCAGCCATCATGTCCACTCCGACGGAGATCTATGTTGCGGTGATGGGAGTGACAGGTTCCGGCAAAAGCAACTTCATCAAATGTTGCGTTGGGAGGGATGACATCGTTGTCGGCGATGACCTCAGATCTTGTGAGTTAACTCCATAACCTCAACATGGCTTAAGCTAACTTAAAGTTTCGTAGGCACCAAAGACGTGAAAATGCACTCTTACTATCATTCACCATCCGTCAGTCAATCTCATCGACACCCCGGGCTTTGATGACGATAATTTGAGCGACGCCGATGTCCTACAGAAGATCTCAGACTGGCTCGCCAACCTGTACCGAGGCGATATCAATCTGAACGGACTTCTATATCTGCATCGCATTATCGACAATCGCTTGTCAGGAACAGCACGGAAGAATCTCGCCGTCTTCCAAAAGGTGTGCGGGAATGATGCCCTCAAGAACGTCACCTTGGTTTCCACCATGTGGGACATGGCTGGCGTTAATCAAAAGTCAATAAAGCGGGAGACACAACTTCTCCAAGAAGACGGGTTTTGGGGTGAGATGGTTCGAGAGCATGGAACGCACGTAGGCCGACATGACAACACCAAGGAATCGGCGATGCAGCTGCTGGCAAGATTCGTCAAGGGCCCGAACTACAGGGTCGTCGTGGATCTGCAGCAAGAAGTGATCGACGGAAAGACGTTGGACCAAACAGCAGCTGGTTTGGAGGTTCTTAGGGAAATCAACAAGGCAAAAGCGGCTATCGAGGAAAAACTAAAGCAATTGGAAGAAGAACTGAAAAGTGCAGCCCAAGACACAGAACGGAAATTTCTAGTCGCAAAACAGAACGAGAAGAAGGAAAGGTCCATGAGACTTCAGCTGCAATGGGAGAAGATGTACACCGAAAGGAGGTTGAGAGAACAGAAGAAGAAAGAGGAACTGGAAAATGGTCTCAGCAAGTCATACGTGGCTTCAGTCGGCACAGTCCTACTTGGCGGCGCGGCATCGCTTGTAGCGATGGCCTCCGCTCCGGCAACTGGAGGGGCATCTCTGGCAGCTGTGCCGAAAATCTTCGCAATGGTTGGTGTGTCGCTTGTGGGTGGAAAGGTTTCGCGGGATCAAGCGCGTGCCGCGGCACATAATGACGATGCGCCCCCTGATTATACAAGTATGTATGCCTTGGAGGGTATACTTGAGGTGGAAGAGATGGAAGATTGAAAAGCCTTCCCATATATTGTAACGATATGAGAGGGAATGATGATGGAAACTGTGCCGAGCAATTCCAATATACGACGGGAATAGCACTTTTGTTTTCCTACTGACAACACCATCGGCGCCGGCTTGAAATATGAGATCAATCCCAAGTCATGAAAATGCTTCTTGTGTGTATTTCTAGCAGCGTACGACGCGGATAAAATGAGGTGACCTAACTATTGGGTCCATCCTCTTCGCGTACACCTCCCAGAAGAGAGGACAGAAGAAAAAGAATAGAAACTGAACCCTTTTCACAATCAACAACCCAACCCAACCATCCGCTGTCCGTCGCTTCATCCACGCCGACGGGGAAAGCGGAGTAAAACGCCGTTATGCTTTTTACCTGATATCATTTGGCTCCAGCGAAACCATGTGCCCCAAACAGCCCATTATTTTCGTGTCAAGACTGCCCGTCCCGTTCTAAAAATTTCAAGCAATTATAGCCTTCATCCGCTATCCGTTTTGACCAAGCCTTAGTCAATTAGATGGCTTATACCCCGAGGCTTCGACTTGGGCGAGATAGTAAGTGTGATTTCCCGACCCAACCCTGGTGCTTCCAACTGGCTCGAGCCAACACTGGGTGTCCTAGACCTGCTTCTCGTAGTCATGTTTGGACGTGAAACCTTCATCGCCGTTGGTCGTAGGGATGGGAGCACTGTAGGAACGTCCTTGTCGAAATCGCGAGGCGGCGAGGACAGATCCGAAGACGTATCAGGGTCAAAAGGGATCTGCTTCGCGTTTTCCTTCCCAGGCGCGGCCACGGCCTTCGTGGCCTTGAATGTCCGGTTGAGGGCGTTCTGGGGTTTGACAACCACCTTCTTCTTTGTCTGCCGCGGCTTGCGCCGAGGAGCAGAGCCAGGCAAGGGTTTACGCCCGGTGGTAATCATAGTGCTGACAGGGATCGTCTCCTTGGAGGACGTGGTTTTGCCGAAGGTAAGAATGCTCTGTTTCGCTGTGGTCTTGGTCGTCGGTTTCCGTGCAGGAAGCGTGGCACGAGGCTTAGGGCTCGCGCTCGGTGTCGGGATTCCGCCTTGCTTCTTTGCCAACACCTTCGAAAGCGGTTTTTCGTCCTCGTCATCTGACACAGAGGACTTGCGCTTGCGCTGAAGCAAAACGTCAATCCTGTTCTTACTTAGTGTAGCCTCCAATCTCTTCTCCTTCTTCTCATCCACCAGCCATGTCGTAGGATCTCCGATATCCTGCTGATCCCACTTCGGTAGGTTCACCAATTCAGCTACATCGTCGCATTTCCCCTTGATCACGTAGTCCCAGCAGTCTTTGAATTCCGCTCCTTGAGGTTCGGGGTCAATGTTGATCCACGCTGTAATACCATCCCGACGGCTCCTGGTCAGCTGGCACATCTCCTTGACGAGCCTTCGAACACCAGGAATCTTGAGAGTTGTGCCGACGACAATAACCGCATCCGGAACCCTTTTCAAGTCTGCCTTTGAGACGTTTCCGATAGCCTCTTCATCGGGGTTGTACTCGTTGTACAAGACAATTCTGGGCCGTAGCCTGCCAATGCCGTGACTCCGTTTTCCGGCAAATGTCGTCCGTACCTCATCCTGTTCCTTGCACCTTGCGCAAAGAGGAGCCTCAGAGCCTTCGAAAAGCTCGGCGTTGAAGGGCTCTAGGTGGCTGCACTTTGTGCACACCATCTTTTCCAACCCACCGTGAAGTTGGACGGTAACCGGCCATGGACCCTTCGCGTTCAGAGGTACGTTGGTGGCTAACGGTGGCATCTGGGTGTCTAGTGTATCGATATTTTGTGTGTAGAGTCGTAGTAGCCGTCCCTCCTCAGCCATAGAGGCTAGCATGTGGTGGAATGGCGTGGGCTTCGCTTGTGACGTCAATTGTGCTAGTTCGCGCACCATGGTATGGAAAGACTCGGTAGAGTCATCGTGCTTGTAGACAGACGCGTCGAAAAGGTGTTTTCCAGACGCCTTCAGCTTGTGCTGACCGCGTAGCGTCGCGAAGAGGCCGGTTGACGAGCGGAAATCAGGGACTGAAAAAGCGCGTCAGTGAGGTCCGAGAGAAAAAAATGGCGCGTCATAGGATGTCCAAGGCGCGCAGATGTTGAAGGGAAAGTGAAATAAAAGGGGTAAGGGGAGACCTACTACCAGCCGAGACGGATATGCCAGCACCAGCAATGACGACAATCTTCTTTTTCCTCCGCAGGGCCGTCAATAATCTGTCGAGGTTCTCATCGGCTTCTTCCACTCGATTTTCAAGATCGATATGCTCTGTGGTACGGGGCTTTGGCGGCGCGGCGGTGCGGCGACGCTTCGTCGGAGGAGGTCCATCTGTGCGGACCTGGATTTCCTGGGCCGCGTCAGAATCTGGTCCCTTCATGGGGGAAGCGCTGCCAGAGGGTATCGAGCTGGAACTAGGAGAGGGATATCGGTTCGAGGCATCGAGTAGCAGAGGCGTGGGAGGCAGAGAAGGCGACTGAGAGAGAACTGAGAGCGGAGAGGATGGAAGAGAGCCAGATGAGGACGAGTCGGACTGTTTCTTGGGTCGCAGGCAGTCCATAGCTGCTGCCTTTAAATGCGCGTGTCCCGCTGCAAGGCTCAATTGCTGCTACGTCTTCTCCAAGTGCCCTGCAGTGTCTGAGCGTGACTAGCTTTGGGCAGACGAGCTGGTGGTGACGAGGGGTTGCGGTTTGCAATTTGTTGCTTTGCTTTTCGCGATGCTATGTCATGGCCGAATTGGGAGAGGCCCTTTTGCGCCCAGGTGGGCAAGTTCGATCCAGGTCGTTGTCGCCGTCGTCTCAATGGGGGAGGACAAAGGAGAGCAGGCAGCTGGGCGGCTGGGCGGCTGGGCTTGCTAAGTCGTCGTTATAAATGAAGAGATGGGCGGAAGTTGGTGGTGAGTTCAAGTTGAGGTCCTGCAACTTGGAAAAAGAGGGCGCTATGGTACGCAGAGCTCCGGAATGGTTGTTAAGAATAATAAGTCGCACTTGTACCGTTCGGCTGCGGATGGCGGACAGACGCCTTCCTTGAACAATAAAATGCAGAGAAGGCAGGTTCAATGGTGAGTTGAGAAGGTCGCGGTTTGCGTCCAAGTATCCACCTGCACACTAAAAGTCCTTGGCTGCTGTTGGTGGAGGAATGGATGCCCCAGCGTTCTATGCAGCCGGTAGGTCATCGGAAGCAGCCCAAGCGCGAGGAACGGGCAGATGGGGGAGATGGGAAAGTACGATTTACAGGTTGCGGGCAGGCTTGCATGTGCGCAAGGAGATTCTAGCGTGCAACACGATTGGACACTTGGGGAGAGTGAGACTGGGACAGGTTGGCAATGACAGAGCTGGAATCTGACAGCCTTGTTCATCCGGAGAATGCGCAAGAGACAAAGACAACAACACCTGTTGGTCGGGTAACGACGACTCTAGCATGAGTCCCGAGGAATGCTTCACCTCAATTTTCAGATGAGTACATCATGCACCTCGACAGAGAAAAGAGAAAAGAGTAAACCGGGTTAAGCATGTCGCTATTGAGAAAGGTATAATAGGAGATCTGGACATGGGGGACTTCAAAGCCCAAAGCCAACCCAATCAGCATGCACGGTACCTCCTGTTAGAGACCTCTAAAGAGTACATTGATTGCTGAGGACTTGGAGCTTCCGTCCCATCTTCGCACTGAGCGCAAAAAGGTGCAATATGATAGAAAAGCAAGATCGACGTGCGGATATTCACCTAGAGGTAAGACTGCAACACTTTGTGAGACTTCAGGCAAAAAGCCAAGGTAGCCCCCGAGAAAACAAGGCGGCTCCACACAACAAAGGAACTCTGAAGTTCTTGCCACTGCACGGTTGCCGGGAAACACAAGCAACGGGGCGGACCCACCTGCAGCTCTTAGGTAGTGCCGCCCTCCCGCCCCATGGACCACGGATCAGGGACCGCGCTACCTTAACAGCTCCTGGGGACAGCCCGCAGAATGGCTGCGGAAACCGGGAGGGAAAGCCACACGTGGCTAGAGAGACTTTGAGGAGGCTTGTGATTATCCCCGGTAACAAACGCCAAGCCTTACGAGGCGTTACACCAGCATTACTTGTACGTAACAACGGGCTGGGTGGAGACACAGTGCCTACTGGAATGTGACTGCATCGTACAGTACTGTCCTCGCGAGCTGTCGCGATCACCGAAATGGGGACTGGAGCTTCATTCGGCAACGACACTGCAGCTTTGTTTCTGTTAACATCCCAAGCTTCCTTCTGTTCTCTACTTGCTCTCAAGACCACAACTATGTCAAAGACCGATTCCGCCTCATTTGAATAACTCGCAATTCCCTTCGGTCTCGTTTAACACAGCCCGATTGTTTGGACATTTTAAAAGGGATTAAAGATAACGTTCACTACCTTGGCTTCAGTTCAGTTACTCGGCCGTTGTCACAGTTCCTGCAAACTGCACATACAAACGCCATCCAATCCAGGTTCTCGACCGGCACCGAGGCTTCCCGCGCGGTCCAAATTTCGTCGGCACGACTACACCAACTCTACAGTATATAAAATCACGGCACTTGGAGACATTTTCTTGAATAATTCTATACGGCGCTTCTCATCCCCATCGCCGCCTCTCATTCTTGGAGACGTCCCAACTTGTACGACTTTGCAACACCATCTGCCACATTCGACCTCTTAGCACACACAGCTTTTACCGTTGGACATCGGATTTTGGCGCGAGGGTATGGTCAGTACGGTGACCACGGCAAGCTTGGCGAGTCAAGAGAGTCAAGAGACTCCGGGGGTACTCAAGACCCATACTAGTGGAAGCCTGCAAAGTTCACAACAATGAGTGGCCACGACATACCCATCCAGCTCTTGGATGGAAGCTCCATGGACGTCCAACACATGGATACGGCCATGAACCTCGACGATGTGGATGTCGATCTCTTTGGCGATTCTGTCATGGTGGACACCGCCTTGGATGGCCTGTCTGCCTCGAGGCCCATGCCCTCCAAACACCTACGCCAACGGCTGGATGATCTGAGAACCCATGGTTGCCATCAGGCCATTGCGTGGTCACGACAGGGCACCATTGCTTCCATCACCAAGGATGGCCGCTCCGTCGAGTTTCGCTTCCTGAGGTGCCGTCCAGAGGATGCCGGCTGGGAGTTGAGCGAACCATACGTCTATAGTACTGCCGTTATCCCTATGCATACTACGGCTGGTCCTATAGTTCATCTGGCCTGGTCCAACACACAGGCTCCCGAGCTCGCCGTCGTTGACGCTGTCGGACGCATCACGATTCTCAACCTCACCATTATGCTCAACCGCCCCTTTATAACCCGGAAGTGGGATGCTGACTCCGTTGACGACCTTCGTGCCGTGGTCGGTTGCTACTGGCTCCCTGTATTCAACCCAAGACCGTTCAACGCTCTGTACGGATCTGCAGTATGGGTGCAGCCCGAAGATGCCAAAGCCCTGGGCGATGGGCTGTACAAGTATGAGGTTTCGTACGCAATGACTACGGGCCCTCATCATCCCAATACCAACAGAAATGCCTTGATCTCCATCACCACAAACGGTCTTCTCCGACTGGTGTTCCAGAACAACAACGGTCGCGTCGAAGAAACTGCCATTGAGCTAGAGAGCATCACTTCCTCGGACGATCTAATTACCCATGCCGCTCTTTGCAACGACAGGAACACTCTCCTGATCGCCCTTGCTACGGCCTCCAAGCAACTGCGGATTGTCACAGCCATGATCTCATGGGGAAATGACAAGGCTTCCGAGAAGCAGTCACATCCACAAAACGCGAATTTGACGCCATCTCTGCTAGAGCACCATGTGGCCGTCGCACCCTGGCTCCAACACGATTCAAACGATCCAGTGCTGGACGAATCCATGTCTCAGCTGTCCCATATTGAATTCCTCCCGTCTATTCCCAAAGACAAGAACTTACAGGCACATTATAACCCCGTCGTTCTCACGGTACGCTCTCACTTGCCAGCTGAAGGGGCTTCTCTGTACGAGCAAGAGCCTACCAGTGTTATCGATCGGTGGGAAGTCGTGAGCGAGCAGCCACAGACTCTACACCCGGCCTTTGCCCAACTGAACACCGGAAACATTACGACAAATCCCAACGTAAGAAGACTTCTTGAACAATGACAAAATTGTGCTACAAGCCGCTAACCTTAAAACAGCCCATGACCCGCCTACGTAAACTGGACTCGGTTGTGATACCCAAAATTGTGGTTTCTGTTCAGGTCATGTATCTAGGCAAGGTAGTATGCTTTGCCTTCAGCGATGGCACCATCCAGTATCGCGACAGGGTTACCATGATGGAGATGTTCAACGAGCATATTGTTCATCGTGTCCTCAGCCCGCATGACGTAGGGTTCCAATACACCAACGATACACCATGTAAGCCTCTATACCGCCCTTGAGCACTCGTGGGCCACTGCTAACCACTCCTATTTTATCAGGTCTTCAGGTTGCCTTCTCGCCTACTAACTGCTCTTACGTTCAAATATCCGATGACTGGGATATCAAATGGAATAGCATGCGATACACATTAGCAGACCCCAGTACTGCGTTACAAGACGGTGAGTTTCGACCTCGGAAATTGTTTCGGAATGTTCCTGACTAAAACCCAATAGCCCAGCAAAGCGCCGTAATGGCAGCCTTGATTCTTGCTTTATCCTCAACCGTCACTGCATCCAACAACTTTGATGATATCCTGGCGATGGCCCGTCCCTTCAATGAGAATCCACGTAAGACCATCCCTTGAGTTTCTCGACTCGAACTGCCATATACTGATACGTGTAAATAGAGTTTGCGGCTTCTTGGGTCAGAGGTACAGTCAACCTTCTCAAGATGAATTTTGACTTTTCCGACGAGGCTCTTAATGACTCACTGATTCGGAACCCCTTCTTGCAAATGTGTCTTAGCATCCTCAGTCACATGAGCTTCCGTGGCGAGTTCCGGCCTAGGTCCTATGAAGGAAAGCTATCTTTCCTCATACTCCAGGTCCGGAACTTTATCGTCCTCGTGAGCCTCTCGCTTAACGCTCCCAAGAGTCTGGGGACCAGTCCACTAGACGAGTCAGAGGTCGTCGAAGTCTTGGTCGGCTGCGTCACATGGGCGCATACTCTGATGGGGTGGGTGGTCGATTGCCTCTTCGACCTCGCCGATGACCCAGCCTTCATGAGCATCTTGAACGAGCAAAAAAGGTTTCCCGACCTGGCCAACTTCCTCAAGGCTCGCGGTGATGTCTCCCTACATCTCCTCTGCTGTTCCTCAGCCCGCGGCTTAATCACCGCCGCCTGCCGCAGACTAGCCCATCTCGAAGGCATGAGCTTCCGCGCCGTTCGCTACTGGGAAGCAAGCCGCCTTAAGACCGAAAACAACGACGGTAGCGGCGGTGGCAAAGTCCTCCCCGACAGCCTCTACTTCGCCTACCAAAAGATGCAACATTCCGCCCAAGCGTGTCTGATCAAAGTTCAGGAATTTGAAAAGATCCTGCAGGGTTTCGCCCAGGACGTACGCACAGCCTACCAAACGAGCCTCTCCCGGCGCCAATCTGGTAGCCAACAACCACCCCAACAACATCCATCGCCGCAACAAAACAAGAATCAACAGCCCCAGAACGCAGAAGACCAGTTCATCAAGAAAGCCCAAGCCCACTGCGAACTCGACATGCTCCTAGGCGCTAACCCCCCGCCTTGCTTCCGCGAGGTTCTCCTCAAGTTCTTCACACAAACCCTGCCTGTGCTCAAGAGCCACGTCGACCCGGCTAAGCTGTACTTTGCCAACTATGAGATTCTTGATATCGAAGAAAACCCGAGGATTTTGGCGGCGAGAAAGGCTAGGCGTAAGTATATTGACGTTTTCACAAGGCGGGAGATTACTTTCCCTACTACTTCGTCAGGGGATGCCGCCCGTGGCGGTGGGGGCAGTGGTGGCGTTGGTGGTGAAGAGGACGTCAAACGGGGAGGTGCCGTTGGTGCTGGAGAAGGCCAAACACCGAATCAAAATACCCTGGCACTAGGCGGCGGCGGGATCTCCATAAAGATTGAGCTCGGCGCTGCTGGATCTACGCCCAACCTTAAGGGCGGGATATCTACCCCCGGCGGGCGGTGGTGGTAGCGGCGGTGGGAACTCCAAGGCAACTGGTGGGAACAATGCCACTGGAGCTGCGAATGCCACCGCGAACGCTACCAACAGAGGAGGCAACAACAGCACCACCGCCACCGCCGAGAACCCCAGCAATCAATGGCGGCGCTGCGTCCGTTGCGCATCGGTTATGGAAGACTTCCCTGGTAATCACTCCAAGCCCGGGTTCACGTTTGTACTGGCGCAGCAGAGGAAGTGTTCGTGTGGTGCTTGGTGGGCGTTGGTTCCCAAGACTGGCACGGGGGAAGGGTCTACTACTACTACTACTACTACTACTACTACTCAGGAGGAAGGTGAATAGTACACATAATCATACAAGAACCTGAACCCGGACCTTTCTGGTGGCGCTTTCATCATCGGAACTGGAGCTCGAGCTCAGGGCCCAATGAGTGGCGGCTTGTCTTCGGCGCGGTATTGGAGAAAGTGATTGATGAAGATGATGACCGGGTTGTTAGGTGGGAAAGGACGGTCATGACTGTGAGCGATGGGAGTATGATAATCAGGATATGATAGGCAGGTTTTGGAGAGTGAAGAAAATGAAAATATGGGTTTGGTTCAATGTAGGTGTTTCCGTGTGCTTGTTCTTCCACATATTACCAACGTGTTTTGGGAGATACAAAGATCCAGAGGACGCGGGAAAACGTGGGCGATGCCGAACGGCAGTCGTTAAAAATGACCCCTGACCATAATGTCAGAAATGACGGTTTACAGGGGTGCTGATGCACCTTGTCTTATGTAATTTAGCGGGTCGGTTGCACGGTCAATTACTTAGATTTCTGGTGCGGGATTTATTAGGTATAGATTTCTATACAATATATAATCTTCTTACCATATTGATTTAACCCCTATACATACTTATATTTTATAATTAAGAGTTTTATTAGTTATATCATTGATTACAGTAAATTAAGTAGAATAATTGTCACAGGATTACCTGTGACTAGCACATCACGTGCATGGGCACGTGCGCTGATCCCAGCTCTGGGCATGGCCTTCGTGCCTTGCCCCATATCGTCAGACCTGCGCACACTTCTCTTCTTCCGTCCTCGTACAACTACGCATATCCAATCTATTCTCTAACCTTGGCCTTGCCCTGTGATAATAATAGTATATTATAATTATTAGTAATAATTATTATAACAATATTTTTGAATTTGGATTTTAAGTAGATTAGTATGATTATGCTGAAGAAGATTGCAGATTAGCTATTTGAGTAAAAGTATTTACGTTTAAGGTAAACGATTATAGCTTGTAGTTATATATAATTAATATTGAAATTAGGCAAATCTAGTTTAAATAATTATCAAAGTTAGAGTTTTTTAAATTTTCAAAATTCCCGGCGCTAGTAAGTAGTTTAAAATTAAATACTTATATTGGTTTTGATCATTAGCTTTAGTAGAATATTATAGAATTTATTGAAATTGATGCCAACCTCCCAGCTGCTAATACTTAAGTTAGGACCGCTATGAAGAATATTTTAATTCCGCTAGTTCTCTTAATTATCCAACTTAGTGTCACGGCGTAACCAGAGGGCACGTTGTGTACGATTTGATTATCTTGGACTAAGAATAAGAAGCTGAAGAGGGAAGGAATCCCAAAAGGGAAGGCTCGATGCCAGAGCTGAGTTTTATACCCAGACCACAGGCGACAACCAGTAACAGCTAAACCCGTGAATGGGATGACCTAATTGAATAGCACCTATGTGAATGGGAGCCTTGATGGCAGGCATGTGACAGCCCAGATGGTGCCAGCCGTCACACTTAGTATGGTTTAAATCTAGAGCATTTTAATTTTTATTTTTATTTAACCCGCCGTTTTATTAGCTTCTTTTATTATTGTGACGAACGGCAGTCTGATCTGCCTAAGTGGGATAGTTGAAGGTAACGACTATCAGTGCTGTTCGGTGAAGCTAAAGAGTTCACAACAAGTATGTCTGCAATACTGGTCTCGGTGATAATGATCTATTGACTACTGTCGAACTATCTGACAATCTGAGTTCTCCCATAGTCTCTTTATACCTGCTCGCCCTCTGCGAGATATCTGTCTCCGGATGCTCGTGTCGAGCCCCATAGGTCTATCTAATGCGTGGTGGCTCACGATGCCCTCCTGGCTCACTGTGAGCAGTGGCTCGTCGTGAGCTGTGGCTCACTGTGAGCCCGTGCGTGTGCCTCTTTGTCCTTGTTGGCCTGGGAGGGTGACACGACCTAACCCGTTTAGGCCGGTTGTGCTACCGGCGCTGTGATTGGTCCATGTATTCTCATAAGTTTGTAATAATTATTTACCAAATTAGGTTTATAATTAGATAAGAATATTAAAACTACTAAATTATTATTAAGAATTATTCTTATAAGAAAGTTAATTGGAAGAAGCTTTAAAATAAAGTTTTTACTTTTTACGAATAGATAATTAAATACATTTTTAGATATTATTAATTAAGTTGCTTTTTAAAGCTTTTTGATTTATTTAATTAGTATTCTAATTTGCGCTAATTAATTAGCTATAATATTAAGAAGGTTAAAAACGATACTCGTATTAAATATTTTAGCAACATTATTTTATTAGTTAATTTTAAAAATTAAATTGTTTGGATTGACATTTAGAAGAATATTATATATATATTGTCCTATCACGCTAAACTATTTACATAGTCTACCCAGTGGGTATACGATGCTGCTTCCGTTCTTAGTCGGTAGGAAAAACCGTATCGTAGCCGGATGAAAACCCTCCGCTTCTCTATTGCAACGACGCCGTGTTGACACCGTGCTTCGATGTTTATCTTCCTCTCGGTATGACCTCACCGTCATTCCCGAGGCCCGATCTTTGATTCCGCTGCGTGGTTCCCCGACCGTACTCCCGCTCTCCAGAATCAAAGATCAATCTGAATTCTCTAGTAGCTCTTCTGCTTCCTTCGCTTGTTCAATCTTCACTGCCAGCTTGTACTCCTGCAGTCGTCCCAGTCGCAAAGCCCAGCGAAGGATTCGTTCCATCCCCGCCACTGTCTCGAGTTCGTCGTGGAGTTGTTCAATGTTTGCCGGCCACGTTGGGTCTCCCCACAACCATGTGTCTTCCGTTTCTCTACATTCCAAGACAATATGTTCGAACGTCTCCTTCGCTAACCCGCACCGGCAGTACGGTGTTGTCACCTCCGGCACTCTTCTCTCGAAGAGGAACGCCCGTAAGCCTATTTTTCCCGTTCTGATTTGCACCAGGAGTGAGCTCATAGCCTTCGAGAGGTAGTGCGGAGATGGCTTCTCATCCGTACTGGGCCATGTGTGGTACTGCAGCGTGGTTCCATCAAACCGCGTGTTACGGTACGTAGGTCTCAAGGGCAGTGCGCACGAATAACCTAACGAATGTAATAAATAATTAACTATGGAGTGTTACGAACTTATGAGATACACGGACCAACCAGGCCGCCGGGTCGAAACCAGCCACAAAACGGCTGAGTAGTGTAACCACGACCCAGGGCGCACGGATAAGGAAGGCTGATCAGTCCAGCCAGGATGATTAACTGATCAAGCGACCAGTCGGAGCAGGGCGCGCAACTAGTCAGGGTGATTAGAACTGATCACCTTAACTACTGAGCGCAGGCACATATTAGATAGACTTATGGGCTCAGAAGAGCATCAGGAAACAGATATCTCGCAGAGGGCGAGCAGGTATAAAGGGACGACTGGAGAACTCAGATTGTCAGATAGTTCAACAGTAGTCAACACATACAATAGATCATTATCACTGAGACCAGTATACGAGTATACTTGTTGTGAACTCTTTAGCTTCACCGAACAGCACTGATAGTCTTTACCTTCAACTATCCTATTTAGGCAGATTAGACTGCCGTTCGTCACATGGAGAGTAAAAGAGAAGAGGAGGAAATGCGAGTCTGGCTGGCACGACTAAACACAAGAATGAAATAGAAAGTAGGTCCGACAGGTAAATGCAACAAATGAGGCATGTAGGTAATGCAGCCAATCAGAAGGCATGGCGCCAAGCCATGACACCGCGCACGCGCCTCTGCGGCACTCAGCTTCTTCCTTTTGCTCATCGCCTCGGCCACCCTAACGTGCCACCTCGCTATCTACTCTCTTTGAATTGCCTCTTCTAACCACCATTTCTTTTCATCCGACGTGAGCTCTCTCATCTTCTCCTACGGTATTGGAATGTCTTTTCTAGGAGCTTATCACAATTACGATAATAAAAAGGGAGATAAGTATTATTATAAGTATAAGATACCTTCTTGTATAATTATTCAGAGAATTTTTATAAAATAAAAGGCTCTTATTTAGTTTCTATTGTAGAAAGGAAAAAGGTATAAAAAGAGTAGTCCTAGTAGTATTTAAACTTTGTGATTTTTGACTATGTATTTAAAAAAAAATCCGTTAATTATACTATTAAGTATAATTTAAAGATAGTTGTCAGTATATAATATAATTAAACCCTAACGTTTTAATTATTAGATTACGAGATCTACTATATTTAAAAAATATATTTGCAAAATTTCTATATAAATAGCAGTTAATAGCAGGCGATACCTTCTAAAGTAATTATTGAAGCAATATCAAAAATGTTAAGAAATTAAAAATAGTTTTATCTATTACTAGCTTTCTGATTATATTACTTAGTACAGTTAAGGAGGTATCAAAAATTAAGGATTTATAAAAGTATTAATATACCCTATCTTATATAATCTAGCAGGTCAGTTGTATGGTCAATTACTCATAATTCTAGTGCGAGATTTACTTATTATAGAACGGCATGTTCTCTTGGCACAGATTTCTACACAATATACAATCTTCGCACCACATTGATTTGACCTCTGCACGTGCTCACATTCTATATATAACCGCTGTAGCAGGTCATCCCAAGCTCACCAAACCGGGGAAAAGCCCGGGGTAAGGGGCAATTATGGGGCGGGTTGAGTGCGGGGGAGGGGATGCTGTCCGCTAATATCTCCGATATCCACACACCAAACTTAGGTTGACGCCAATCCTCTCTCTACTCTTCTACAATGACGAAGCTGACACTCCCGTTGAGCACAGCAAACCGGGTCAAAGTTTCACCAAAGACACGGTATGGTATCGGTGACAGTTCAGCCGCTGCCCGCCGTCTCTGGACCGGCCAGGCACAATGTTTTTGGTTGGGGGATGGGGTTTAAATGTAAGACATCTTCTCATTTGTGGACGACTGTCTGTCTGTGAGGATTCAAAAACATCCCGTCTCTTCAACCATCGTCTTGACATCACCTGCAAACTTCATACTACTACGGACCGGTGTCGTCTATCCTGACCTTTTACAGCTCCTTCCCTCACCTTTCAAGCTTGAAGGTTTAAAAAGTATCACCACCAAGATGGTCAGTGACAGCGGCCATGGCGGCGAGTATCGCCAGTACCTCCCGGACCTAAGCATCCCACGCTTCACAGCTATGCAAAAGCAAGATGCCCATGAATACGCAAAAGAGTTCATCGAGGGAGGAAATCCCCCATGGCTACACGGCCTCTACCTGCACTGGAGGAAGCTTTTTCCAAGATCCCTTCAAGGGAGTTACCAACGACGGTTAGATCACCCCCTTCTATTCTCACACAACACATCTCGTCTCACAAGCTCACATATTATTTGCACAAACATCCAGGGACCGTCCGCCCCAATCTCTTCACCCTCCAAGACGAGGGCATGCCCATTGACTCCATTGTCTCCGCCACCACCAATCTCCTTTCTCACCTCACGCCCCAGCAGCGCTCAGCAGTGACCTACCACATCGACTCCCCCGAATGGCGCACCTGGTCCAACCCCGAGTTCCTGCTCAGCAACAAGGGCATCCGCCTCGACGAAGTCTCTCCCTCCGTCCGTGACGCCGTCCTTGCCGTGCTCAAATCCACACTCTCGCCCGAAGGCTACACCAAAGCCCTCGGCGCCATGCGCATCAACGGCTTCCTAGGTGATCTAGTCCAAGCGCCCCGCGTATGCAATGAGTTCAGCTACAACTTTGTTCTCTTCCAAACCGCCTCCGGCCCTTCGGCCTCGCAGCCCTGGGGCTTTTCCTTCTACGGCCACCATCTGTGCTTGAACGTCTTCCTGTACAAAACCCAGGTGGTCATCTCCCCCTGGTTCACCGGCGCCGAGCCGAACCTGATCGACGAGGGGCCGTACAAGGGCACCCGCATCCTTAAGGAGGAAGAGAAGCTGGGCCTGCAACTGATGCAATCCCTCTCTGCCGAACAGCAGAGCCGGGCACAGGTGTACAAGCTCCTCCGCGACCCGGCCATGCCCAAAGGGCGGTGGAACCACGACGACCAGCGGCACTTGTGCGGCGCGTACCGGGATAACAGGATGGTTCCGTACGAGGGTGTTTCCGTTGGCGAGTTTACTCCTGGCCAAAAAGGGTTGGTGGAGGGCATTTTCGAGCAGTACCTGCTCTACCTGCCTGCGCAAGCTAGGGAGATCCGTCTGAGGGAGATTAGGAACTGGTTCGATAAGGAGACGTATTTCTGCTGGATTGGTGGGTACGGCGACGATGATGCGTTTTATTATCGCATCCAGAGCCCCGTGGTGATTGTCGAGTTTGATCACCATAGTGGTGTGTTCTTGACGAATAAGGAGCCGGCCAAATTTCATATTCATACGCTGTTGAGGACGCCGAATGCGGGCGATTATGGGATGGCGCTGAGGAAGTTGGTGGAGGGTGAGAAGCAGGAGTATGTTTGGGAGGGATAAGCATGGAAGAGAATAAGGAGGGTGCTGGATGTGAAATGTAGTCGTGTTGTTGGCATCTGATGGCTACATGATATGGCGGTTTGCCTGGGCTCAAAATCTGTTTTGGTATCGGCGTGGGTAAATCCTCAGTGACATAAATTGGGAAAGAACAACTTGGCAAGAGGCATGACTCTGGCATCGCTTCCAGGTTGTTGTAGTGGATAAAACTAGGGAAGGTGGGATGTGTTGGGAGAAATGAAGGAAGGTGCACCTCACCACCATGTCCCACCTGCCACATGTATCGTCGATTGGCAACAAGAGTCGCAACTTCCTGGATAAAACTTTCCATTGGAAATTTGCTTGTTCCTTCGCACAATTTCTGTGTTGAACGTGTGGGTCCAAACCCTACGTCGTCCTCCTCCTCCTTCCCCCGTTTAATCGGCCAGAGCTCCAAACTCCCGTCTAGCGTGAAAGTTGATCTTCAACATCGCACAGAAGCCAATCTATGATCGCCAATGGCTTCGGCATCGCGATTGACCTCGCCATTCTTTAACGACCATTCGTGGTCTCAAGAAACCGCCAGTACCAATGGCAGCTCTCAGTCCTCGCTGTTCTCCCAACCCTCGCAACACTCGACGCAACCTTCGAGACAATCGTCTCTGGCCTCTTCACCACTCGAGCCCGATCTGGAAGCAGACCTCGACCAGGAACAACTAGATGAAATCGATGAGCACTCTCCTGAGGTATGGGCAAGCTACTTGAGCGCCCAATACCAGACTCACATCGTCGAAACCCTGAAGCAGACCGTATTCGAAAAGCTTGACCAGCTCAAAGCCTCCATCACCTCCCTACAACAGAATTATGTCCGTCAGGAGGAGGCCAGCACAGCATCGTCTAGCGAGCTCAGGGCCACCCATGATCAGATTTTCACCTTCCTTCGAGATCTCAAACCCATTCCAGGCCGGATCTCCGCACTAGAAAGTGATGTCAGGCAGAACAAGGAACAAGCAGGCCGTGCCCTCTCCGATCTCGACGACAAGCTCTCGAGCCTGAAGACGGATCTTGTCGTCAAGCATGACGGAGCCGTGAGAGGCTTGAAGAGCGTCCGAGACCAGAACCAGTCCCTTCTCGAGACACTCGTAGCTCTGCGAGGAGAGGTCATGAATTTGCAGCTACAACAGACGCAGACGGACGGAAGACTCTCTACTTTCCAAAAAGAACTGGAGAAGACTCTAGCACCGCGTCCAGAACTCTCTAATGAGGCCATGGACTTCTTAAGACAGCTTCTTTCTCGTCGTGCCGACCTCATGGGACTTATGGAGCCGCCAACCACAGCAACAAGCGGTACGAACGTGCCTCTTATCGAAGCAGGTAAGTTGCCATGTCCCTTCCACAGCCATACACATTATCTGACAACTGTAGCGCCCCAACTCGATCTGCCATGGAGGTCTCCTCAAGACACCGTCGACAGTACCAACTCGAACCTGCCAGTCCAGGCAGCTCCGAAGACAAGAGCTGCACATAAAAGAAAAGCGTTGCCGTCAGCACTTGACCTCACGGGTCCGGAGCCCCAGGCGGAGAAAAGAGCGAACCCGAAGCGAACGAAATTCGACTTACCTCCCGTCAGCTCGAGTCGGCAGCTTCACGAGAGCAGGAAACAGCTACCTGTCGCCAAAGCGAAGAAAGCGCTTTCTGCCCCAGAGACACGACCATCTGCTACGACCAAGCAGACCGGTACTACGAAACAGAAAGCCCCCGTTGCAGGCATGGGAACCGCTCCTGCTGGCCTCAGTCAGCAGCCTCCTGTGAGGCCCAAGGTTCAGGACATGAAGCTTCTCTTCAAGAAATTCAACGACGAGTACAAAGCAAAACGTCCCAAATTCGACTACCTCTTCATATGGAAGTTCATCGGCCAAATTGAGAGTTCAGAGAAGCTGATTCATCTTCAAGTGCGCCTGTTGGAACTTTTACCAGACCACGTCTCGCAGAGGAGGGCCTCTCATCGCCTTGGGGATAAGTTCATCCAAATTTCGAAAACAGTGACCTGGGCGCAATTTGCGACGGCGCTTGCTGAGGTGTAGCAATGTTGAAGAGGCTCTGTGGAAAGGAATGTGACATCACAGATCCTGGGGGAGAGATATCGTATCCCAACCTTGACAATACATATGGAGAGTACGCCACACCACTGGTCTGGTTCTCTCTAAGATATATCGGTCTTATCTATGTCGTATGTTGTAAGTCGAGTTAGTTATCAATCCGGATACGAAGATGGGCATGGAAGTGACGTCCAACATACTCACAAGGTGTTCTTACTGTGCTTAGAGATGTCGAGCACTTCATGCAATATCCACAGGACGAGGCAAGGAAACGAAGTAGATATATTTACGAAGGACAAAAAGCGTGGCAACAAATGGGTATCAAAAATAATCAGCAGACCAGCCGAGTTTGTATCAAGATCTATCCAACAGGTCATTTCCCAAACCTCCCCCATTCCCCTTTCCAACCGATGCTAAAGTAAGACATACCCTTCTTAACCTACCTTTATCAACTCTTCCTGCCATGTCGATGATACACCTTGATCGAATTGACAACCCAATGGGCCTCCTTGAACTGACCCGGATTCGCGCCCACATAATCCTCACACTTTTTCGCCAACCCTTTGCACGTCGCGTCCTTATCCCACACCGCACCCGCCCAGTCTCCGCAAAACGCCGTGTTGAAAACAATACTGTGGTTCTTGAAATGGTCCACCATCGAACACCCGCGGTCAAATACAAACACGGCCAGCGGCGTTCCGAAATTTGAAGGATCCGCACCCGGTGCAGAAGAAACAACGCCGCCGGCGGTCGCGTTAGTTGCCGAAGAGGAAGATGCAATCGCTTTGGTAGTCGTCGTCGTGGTGTTCCCGGCTAGTTTCGTCGCCAGATCGGATCCGCGCGGGAAGAACCAGACTTTGATGGAACCTGTTGATTCCCCCCCTCCTCTTTTTCTGTCACCACCGCTCGCGTGGTTCCCAGACCCAGAAACATCGCTCGACCACTCAACAGCATAAACCCCTCCCTTTCCTTTATTAAACCCAACCCCATAATTCCCCGTCCCCTTCTTCTGTTTCTGTCCAGTCGAATCCCCTCCAGTAGTATCCTGCTTACAGCCAGTGCTGCTCGCACAATCATCAGCCGCAAGCTTGGTATCCGACATCGATCCTGTGCTGGAAATGTTGCACGATCCTCCACCGTCCGCTCCCTTTTTGCTGGTGTTTTTCGTCCCGGACGTGTGCAACGTGATGGAGTTTGTCGATTGCGTGTTTACGCCCTCGAGAATGTCGATCTCGCCCGAGGAAGGCCAGGAGGGACCAAAGGTCCAGAAGGCGGGCCAGAGGCCGCAGGAGGAGGATTTGTTTTTGGCGTTCTTGTCTTTGGAGGAGAACGAGCTGAAGGATGAAGAAGAATCGTCGTCATGGTCATATAACCCAGAAGGCATATGATAGATATCCGCCACAAACAGACCCTCCGTATACGTCTTTTTGGAGGATACGCGAACCGAAGGTCGGCCGGGGGCCGGGGGTGAAGCATTGGCAGAAATCTGGTTGATGTAGTCGACCCCCAACATGACGCCGTCGGGCGTGTACCCGACCAGACCGGTTTTGTTGGCCGTTTGGTGGTCGACGTATTGGACGAAGCCGTGGGTCGGGTCCGAGCCGTTGAAGAAGGCGAATTCGGAAAAGAAGTTTTGGGCGTTGAAGAGGTCGACTAGGGTGTAGTTGGAGGAGGGGGTGGTCGAGTTGGTGTAGGAGGAGGAAAAGTGGTAGGGTGCGTGTGGTACGGGGAGCCGGGGACTGTCTCTCTCTGTGAGGAGCGCGAAGGCCGCGGGTGCGAAGGGAAGCATTGGTACTATCGGTGATGATTGGGAGTTCGATATCTTCGTTTTTTTCGGGATGAGGACTTTTGTTACCGTAAGGTGAAAGGAACGTTCGATATGGTGTAAGTAGTTTCTAGCTTGATGTGGGTTTTCCTATCTCTACCCGTCAAGAAAAAGAGGATATGATATGTTCAAGTTAAAACCAAAACAAGCGACCCAGCCGCCATCAAGAAGCAGAAGAGAAGAAGCTATCCAGAAGAGAGCAGATAGACAGACAGACAGACAGACAGACAGACAGACAGACAGACAGACAGACAGACAGACAGACAGACAGACAGACAGACAAGCTCGAAAGCAATAATCACGAGGTTGTGGCAACGTAGGTGACCAGCACTGATATTGTTGACAAGACAACTCGTCAAGAACCCATCTATCTTCCCTCGCCCTGATGCGAGTGAGAGTCAAAGAGCGGGCAACTTTTTAATAAATCGCAGAGAAACTTTCCAAGGGAGAAAATAAGCGCCCGTTGTGTGTTGCCGCCAGAAAGAATAAAGCAGAAAAGAAACTAGGGTGGGTGAATTCTGAAAGAATCTCATCAAACCAACTCAACTTTCGAACCGAACCGCGCCCAACAACAACAACAACAAAGCTAAGAACGAGAACAATAGAGAGAGAGGTCTCACGAGATTGTTGAACAATTGGGGAAAAGAAAAACGGATCAGGTGTGCTTATACATGCTTGTACCTATGCTTCGGTGGTAAGGCAATGACAATGTGCATACCTACCTGCTCATGTGCATTTCAGCCGTGTGTGTACAAGCAGATATGAACTTTTTCCGTTCACCAAAGTTTGGACTTCGGGGTTTGTCCATGAACGACCTCTCCTGAGGCCTTGAAGTTTGATAGCCATTCAGAAGCCACCCGACTGTCTGTCTATTGATCACCTCGAAAAAAGAATCGCGACAACTCGTATCGTCTGTCCTTCAGACAACACCCATTGTTAATCGCTTCATCGCTGAGCTCCGCGAAGCTATGAGTTCATTCACTCGCATGTGAATGATAGGCAGGGTTGGTTGGCAGGAAGTGGTTACGGGTTGACACTGAGCTATCCCAGCAAATTGACGCGATAACCGCTGAAAACAACTATTTGGACAGCATTTCGAACGGCTGTATGCTCTATGTTTATGTTATTAGCGAGCTTCCGTTATCTCCTCGAGTGTAACTCATCGGTAAGTTGGAGATGTCCTTCCTTGTTGGTGTTTGTTGTAGGTAAGTGACGAATCTTGGCAAATGACGCAGCAGAACGTAGCACTTTGCACACACAGACCGCAGCAAACCGCTTGCTACCGAGCACCTTCCTTCCCCCGCTTTTCCTTTGTTATACAGGTCTCGCCATGCACTGGCGGCTCGCCCATTGGGCGATTAGACTGGGAGTTGTTGTTATTTTTAACGTCTACTTCCGCCTCCCGTAGGGCATGAGACGTGATTAGACTGGGAGTGTTGGGCCGCGTTTACGCTATGGGCAACACATGATTTACAACGGCAATAGGCCTCGGTTTGCCCTCGGATTAATGGTTTTGGTGAACAGTTAGGGCATTGCTCTTAATTTTGTATGCTAGACTCACCGGTGCGGCACGTCTCATGCCCTACGGGAGGCGGAAGTAGACGTTAAAAATAACAACAACAACAACAACAACAACAACAACCTTCCTTCCCCCTGTGCCCCCGAAGTCGGCCAGTGTAGTCAAGTCTATCAGTCTAGTACTGCAATCTCATAGGTACCTGTAGTTAGGTTGTCCGAATTCTTTAAAAGGCTTAGGTAGGTAGGCTTTGCCGAGAAGGCCCTGCCCTACAACCCAAGAAGAACAAGCACGTGGGGGTGTCAGCACCTTGTCAGCACCTTGTCGCCTTTGTTGGTTGTTAGTGCAGTTTGCTTGAATGTTAGTCGACGGTCTAGACTCTGTCCATTGTTCTACCTAACTAACCTCCAACGATGGGACGTCGGTAGTGTACAGTGCTGACATCACAGCCACCACGCAGGCAAATTAGTGAGAGAAGCTCAGAAAGCTATACTGTATTTGACACCCGCGAGACCCGTTGAATTATCTCAGAATCATGGGAGGTATAGTGTTGTTCATGGCCACCTTGGTCGACGATGACTTCTTTGCGCCACATGCCTTGGGCGAATCGAATACGAGAAAGCCGTCGGGAAGTGAGACTAGACTAAACTCGGAAGCCTGTCAGATGCGCGTTGGCTTCTGTGATGACTGCATCGTATCCAGTGCTTCGTGATACCCTCCTTCCTGTCAACCTGTCTTTGGGAACGTGTACCTGCAGAAAAGCAAGTGTATCACTCTGTAACACTGAGCACAAGATTGGCAGCGGAGTCCAACTCCGAAATGCCATCTTGATTGGGCATACCAACTGTTCGAAGCAGGTTGACGCGAGATTTGACAGGGTCGTCGTAACTTGTGGTCTCGTCAGAGTTCGGACGGCTTTGTTAATCAACTCAGGGCTCGTGGAAGGTATCGAGTAACAAACATATGTGCGGTATCTGCGGCGGTGGAACCTGAACTGGCTTAATGTTGTGGTTGTGTCTCCTTAGTACGTTGAGTCTATCCATCCATATGAGAGAGTGAAACGCGGGCCATGCACCTGTATATGTCTCTATACCTGCCCACTGATTTATGTTTCTTTTGCCTACCTAGGAGTAACAAACGTTGCGTAGGTCCGTTACCTCGTACAAATGCCATATATGTGTAGCCATAGTAAAGTCCGTAACTCTTGGCGCCAAAACTTTCCTGTCACTCCAGTCTACGTAAAGACTTCAGAACAGAAACACAAGGAGGACCCGGCGTCGGACGTGACAATCATTATTCGTCCCCATACATAAGTTTTAAGATGAGAAGTCACACCCGATAGATCAAACCGCCCACCGGCAGGTACGATTCTGGTGAGTAACCAAAGTGCAATGGGAACAGGTGTGGGAAGAGAAAAGTGCCCCGCCAACTTCTGCTAACAAAACATTATCATGATAAATTCTTCTTCCGGCAATGAGATATGGAACCTCCTTCCTCAAACATCACTCATTTTGATGTGATAGTCGTATACAAGATTGGGGGTATACAGAATTATATAAAGACAACGTAGGAAGTAACTTGATTATAGACGTAGTGTTGCCATTGTCGGCTAAACCACCTCTAGTTGCTGGCGGCGTACCGTGGGGTGCTCAATACGACCTTAACTTCCAGCGATCGAATAGAAACGTCGTGAGTATCGTGTCGTTCGCATCAGGGTTTCAAGACGATAGGTGACGCGTCTTAAAACTTGACCTTCTTGCCGGTAATCTTGAACCAGATCCAGCAAAGGAGGTCCTCCTTGAAGCGTTCCCACAATGACCGGTTGAGGTAATAGCTCAACTCGCGGAAGTTGTACATCTCGCCCCAACAGTCACGGCCCCATTCGCAACCGGCCATGTTGACTAGGAAATCCCGATCCTTCTGGTCGTAGTGGATGCGCGTATCAGTGCCCTTTTCGGAGCAAGCGCCTGTAGGGAAACTGTTGATCATGCGCTGCGGAAGGAAGGCTGTGCTCTTGCGAATCCAGGGTTGCGCAATGTAAAGCTGCTCCAAAGCGTCTTGCTCCTTGTGTTCCCATTCCATGTGCTTCTGTTCATAAGCAACAGGATCCCACCAAACGTCAAGCAAATGGTCCGTCCAGGTGCCGCGGCGCATAAAGAAGGAACCCAAGTTGAATCCAGAGCAGTCCTGCGACAACATGAGGTGGATCGAGTTCGGGTTGCCATCTCCAATCGGGCTTTTCGAGAGTTCGTCGAGATAAGGGTCGGCCGGGGGGTGGGAAATGTTCAGCGGATTGTACTCGTTGATATCGCGGTAGGTGACATCCTCAAGGTGGTCGAAGATATGGTCCTGCAGAGACTTCGATGGCTCCATGATGAAGGTGTTAAGGTCGAGCCACCAAACCCTGTCAAGAAGTTAGTTACGGAAATTCATCAAAAAAACAAAAAAAAGGGAGAGCGGGAAACATACCATTCTGCCTTGGGATACTTTCTCAGTGTAGAGCGGACGAAGTCGACCTTCTCCCAGCTCTCGCGCCATTCGTGAGCATAGCGTTTCTTGGTGCTCATGTCGACAATTTCGAGATCGTATCCCCACTTGGCAACGTATTTCTTCTTGTTGCGGATCGAGTCCCTCTCGATCGCCCATTCCCTGGCGCCCTTCCACTCCATGACACCACCGCCAACGTTGGCCGCCAGAATGATGACGAACTTTTGACCCCCACCAAGCCATGATGTTCTTCGGTAGTAGTATACCAGAGCTTTTCGTATGTTAGGTCACTGTCCGATCGGACGAAACCGGGGGGAGTGCTATAAAAGATGATGTATCCTAGCAGGAACAAGAGGCCAAAGACTATCAGCATCTTGGTCCTCCTGCTCATCCTCCCCGGGAGGCTTCGTATCCTGCCGAGTCGCGGCATGTTCAGGCCGGACCATCGACTTTCGACCCCAATCTTCTCTCTTTCTGCGCCATGGGTGTTCTCGTGCCTGAACCGGGGCAGCGAACTGGATATCCGGCGCATGTGGCGGCTAAAAAAGCCCTGATTCTGTGTCGAGAAGGACTGGTATGCGGGGCCGCCCATGTTTTTTTGCCTTTCCCACATGACGGGCGTCCCGTTGGATCCGCCGGCGTAAGCCTTGGTAGGACTCGATCGACCGCTCGGGCTGAGGTTGTTTGTAAGGCCTGGACTCGCCCAGCCTCCACCGGGGACGGGAGAGGGGCTGCGGGACAACGACATTGTAGTATTTGGGGTGCCTAGAGCGGACGGAAGGACCAAGCGACAGTCAGTAACACGCAGCGGATGACATCGGACAAGTGCCTAGCGAGCGGCCTGACGAGTGGGAGTGAGACGGCGACCGTGAGACCGCTGGTCTTGTCACGGACGTGGGACAGGGCAAGGAACCAACAGGTCAACAGGGACCCCGTCACTGTCAGGGCTGGGGACAAAAAGAAGAACACGTACCCGGTATGGGCGAGAGGCTGTTGGGGTCGTAGTTGCCGTTATGGGGCTCAACCCCCAGGAGAGCCGAAGGAGATCGGCGATTGTCCAATCGGAGTTCGCTAGGAGGGTTAACGGCGGACGAGCGTCTTCGGTGATGGGAGCGGGCCGGACGGTCGCTGTAGGAGGACGATGCCCCGTTGCCGTTGGGGGAAAGGGTAGCCAGCTTTGCGGATTTATTTGGCGACTTCACCAGGTGGCACTATGGGCCCTCTGGTGATATCGCGCAGGGGTGTAGGGGGTAGCTGGGCTTCCTTGCTGGGGGAGGCTCAAAGGGCCCAGACAGAGGCTGACCGACGGAACTGACAAAGTGACGGCTGAATCCACGTTGCAACGGAGGGCCGCCCGAGTTGAGATACCGTATTGGTACGGGCGGTAGGGTACGTAGCGGTTGTGGTGGTTACGGTGGGCTAGGCTGGCTGGCTGGCCTTGGTGGCTGCTGTGCTGAATGAGCGTCGGATGGGTGTCCGTGGTAGGCTCTACCCAAGGCAGGTAGACAGCGTGTACTATCGAATATCGAATACGGTCGTGCGGTACAACCGAGAGGATCCGGTAGGTCATCCAAGAAGGGGGATGTGGACGGATGGATTCGTGGGATGGGACAAAGGGGACCCGGTGTGTCTTCGAGACGTCCGAGTTTCGGGTTGGGTTGCAGGGCGCGCAGGCTGCTGCTGGAGAATGCCAACCTTGAACCTGGCTTGGTTGCTTGAAGATGGATTCGGCTGTATGCCGGGCAGTGTCGTTCAGTGGATCGCTCGCCGTGCCCGATTACCTAACGGGTCCTTGGATCATGCGCGTCGTCGTCTCGGTGGATGGGGAAAAGAAGTAAAAAAGCATGGAAAGATTTAGAGGTATTCAACGCATGTCGGGTGGGTGTTTCAGTGGGAGAGCGAGTCTGTACCGTTAAGACAGACAAGACGTTTCAGCTATGGAAGAATTCCAGTGCCCGTGGAGGAAATTCACTTCAGATGAAGGAAGGAAGGAAGTGCCCTGTCCCGTCCACTCGCTATGGCCAGCGTGGAAGCGACCGAACAAGCCAAGAGCTTTTCTAACTTTGAATCTCCCATCCTCCTGTCCCCAACCCTCATCGCGACCCCCCGGCCGGCCCCAGAAATTCCAGGGGCATTCTCCATCAACAACTTTTTTTTTTCTAGCGGGCAGCTTTTCAACAGCTACCCACGCCAAGAATCCCCCGACAACTGCAGGGCACCACCCAGGGCCTGTTATGCGACCCCTGTTCTCCTTCCAGGGCTCTACACTACGGTTCATGGTGGTTTGCGACTAAGGTAGCTGCGATACCTGAACGGTGATGGGATCGCGCAATTTCACCTCGAGTTGGAGTCCTCAACGCATCTTAATAGCGGTTCGCAGAAGGCCCAATCCTTTTCCCGAATGCCTTCACCGTCTTTAGGCTCATTCCTTCCCAAGCATGGAAAGGGGGAGACGCGCTAGTGTGGCAGGGATGCCGGGCGTGGACTTGACTTGCCTACATTGCCTTAGTGCCGCGGGCAGCAGCGCATTGGGCATTGGACCCTTTTCGACTCGACTTTTTCGACATCCGGCTCAACGCAGCGGGACGTAGCCAATGGTAATGTCACAATACCAATTAAATTAAGCGCTTGAGGACAGCAACTTGGGGGTTTTGAGGGAGACCTCCAACTTTTCCCCAAACGGTTTACTGACCTGACTGAAAATTCATTTCTGCTTTTCCAAACCGCCTTCTCAGCCAGGCCAGGGGACATCATGGTTACAGGAAAACCTCGGGATGTGGGACGAAGCACCATGTTTTGGTTATCTGTCTTCGGCCGATTGCACAACAGAAAGGTAATTGATCAACGCCCCCCTGTTTTGAGGTGACTATCTCTTGGCTATGATCCGGCGCTACGGAAGACTGGCGCGGTGTTGGTTCGCTGGGCGATTCTTTCCCTCCCCTTGTCTAAGACAGAACCGAAGAATGATGCGGGTGGTGTGGTGATGCTGATCACAGCTAGGTGGGTTCTTACTCGATCTCAGGTTAACGCAATTTAAAAGGGGTCAAATCTCCTTGTCTCCCCTCCAATGTTTCACCATTCCAGCACCCGCGCAAACCTGGTCGTCAACGGAGATAGAGTTATTGACGACTATGGGGTACCCCATAGCACGCCATCTCAATCGCTACCGCGGAACCTAAGACGATGCTAATGACGATAGTGTTCATTCTTGGAGCGACAGGTGGTAACCAATGGTAGAGATGGCATTCTCGACCTTCAGATATCAACTCAGATTTGGCCATGGCTACGGTACCCAGGAACCTGAAACCGTTCACTATAGTCGCTTGTCATGGAACAATGCTAGGGCCTTTCCACAGCCTACAAGATCTTCAGCCTATTCCCAGAGAGCGTAACAGACCCCTCCTCGCAACTCCACGACAAAATGAACCGGTCGGCGAATGGCTTCTTGACGATCCTACTTTCCTTGACTCCTCCAGACACCCAGGTGTCGAATGAGAGGACACTGTAGCTCCTCTGAATGTGCGAGTTTCCACTAGAAGCTTCAGAACACCGATCTTAATGTTCAGCCCCCGCAAAAAGATGAGACCACCCTTTCGATGAGGATTCCATGGCCTAGCTGCATTGGTGTTTTCACAGCCGTAGACTAGGCATCACGGAGGTGGAAGAATTCATTCCCGACTCCTGGTCCCGGTACATTTTAAGTCAACTCTCCAGCCTGGCTCTGAACCAACAAGGATTCCTTTCTTATTAACTTTACTTTGTTTGGAGATCATACCAGATACACAACTGCGGCAAACCACTACATCTCTTGTTTCACCAGACAGGTTGGTAGCTTCTCTAGACTCATGCCCTACATCATTGGTGGTCAAACCTTCATTGCCAGCAAGTGGGTTAGGGTAGATCATACCTTACTGCTGGATGTAGAAGGTCTTGAACACATAGACCCTGCAAAACGCCTAGGCTGAAGTAGTACTCGCCACTCCCCATTTCAAAGAGACTTTACACAGTGGGTACATAAACCCTAACTGGTTTTCACTCAAGGTGTAAAGCTAGATGCAGTGTAAGAAGTTTCAATTGGCCATTAGGTTCCTAGGTAGCCACGCTCGTCCAACTTCTCGATGTCGTTAGGTTATCACTCAAAATTGACCATGACTGACTCCTGACGCCGACGAGATTTCCACTATTCGCTTGGAGTTTGCAACGTCCAGTTGGTGAATCGTCGAAGCAGTGCCAGAAAAGAGTTTAACTTCTTCTTTACATCAGACACCAAAGCTCACCCTCCCGCGAAATTTCCATAGCAGGAAGTCAAATAACAGAAATCTCATACTTGAGCACAGCATTAAACTGTGAACAGGTAGACCTCAGCAGCATTCGAACTCCCGACATACCAGATTCTGGGTAGAATATTCTGAACACATATACTGGGGACGGTGGTATCTTGCACAATGGACCTACTGTGTAAGTAGGCAGATGTCTTCATCTGCTTTCTCAATCTCACGGTTCTCGTGCTCGTAATCTCACCAAAACCACCCAAAACTAATTGTTTGTATGCTCGCTTACTGAAAAGTACGTGATGGTCACCGGCAATGGAAGGTAGCACCAAATGCCGATATCGCTTCCACTTCTCTCTTCGCACGGAAGTAGCCCGGGAGTAGTAGTTGCCTGTTGGTTGGGTCGCTCCTGCCCACATCATCGACAGTTCGATACTAATATGGTGTCAGCCGACCATCCGACAGCCAGGAGGGAAGGAGCAATCAGCCAATGCTATTCATAGATTTCATTATTTGAATGCAAAGTCTTTCACACACCTTGTTCGTTCTTGCTTAGTTGTCACCACAAGTTGCTGGGCTTGATTAAGACCCCATCCATCCGCCCCATCTCGCTCGTTCTCACATATTCTCGTTTCCCGTCTCACATACAACCACAACTACACTGACCTAGCAGTTCCAAGCCATTCATCCCCAGAAACATTACAATAAAAGAAATTTGACACGACCGAACGATAACTATCAGCTTCTGCCCCGCAATTAAATTTCAAATCTCAATATGCCTTCTTACTCTGCCGATAACAATGCCCCTCAGCCGCAACAAACAATGGAGATGGTGACCCCTCAGGACGCCATTGTTTCCCAGCAACCTGTACGTCGCCTTGCCTTTCCTTGCCTTTCCTTGCAGACAGGTTGATGATGAACAAGACTAACCAGGAGTCCGAACGTCACGCTCTCAGACAACCGAGCCACAGCCCGAGATGATTACGGAAGGAGCATTGCGCGGCGGCTTTGTTGAGGAGTGTAACTGCTGCTGCTGCGGAGAGGAGTGTGTTTGTTGCTAGATATCTTACCGAGGCAGGGTGGTGAATCAATGCCTGCTACATGATATCAAGGAGATCATGGGGGTGGGAGGAGTAAATATGAGCTAATCCAAGAGGGATACATAGGCCGCTTGCCAAAATGAGGTCTGCTTGAGTGCCTCATTGCCTCTCGGAACTCAGCTGGATCATAGATTGGATCGAGTCAATCTGTTATCCACATAACCACACTCAAGACCTTTTGACTTCCACAATGTGATCATCTAGTTTTCTTCCATATAACAAAAGATTTGCAGTGAAGATGTAAAGCCTTGAGGGGAGTGGCCTCCCTTCATCATCGCGAGTCCAGGTCAACGCGTGTCACTGAGCAGGCAGGAGATGTAGTGTATACGTCCTCTGACGCTCTGGTGGAAGGTACTATCTTGACGTGTGAGGCCCTCCTCGGCACCCATATCTTGAAGTTCGAAACCCGACTCGCTCTCACAACAAGATCGTACTTGTGCCATTTTGATGAATTTTACTTTCCAGACGTCGTCTTGTCGTCTTGAAAGATGACGTCTGAAGCAGGGGAGATATCTTGGCAGCTTGGCAGAAAAGCTTGGCCTGACGCCATGAAGCTTGGCGCCCTTGGCAGGCACAAACCAATGATGGGCCACGAACCGATTGCTGGTGGGTGACCAAAAGTGAGGGGAAGCTGACGTCCAGCCGGTGTTGCGACTGACTTGCGAGGAACTTTGTGCAGCGAACCAAACAAAGTGTGGTTCCATTCAACTCGGATCTCAAAGTACCAACCCAACCACCCCGGGGCTTTGAAGAGGGAACACAATGTCTCCACAGTGACTCCTTCTCATATCCAACGGACCGGACCATCTCGATAGAGGAGGCACTCGACAGTAATCTCCCCTCGCAAGCCGCGATGCTAAAGATGCCCCCCTCCTAAGGTTTCTGGCTGCGAAAACAGAGACAGCCATCCGCCAAAGGAAATGATTGTGATATCCGATGGGTACACTGACAACCTCAACGGATCTGTAAAGCCCCGAGAGCAAGAGGGTCTGAAACCACCGACCACCGCAAAGAGCAACTATGAGCTTCCAAAAGAGAGATGATGTGCGACCACACTTGTTAGGTAGCAAGACATCTTCATTATCATCACATAGGCTCGACACTCAGCGTAAGAGAGCAAGCATGTTATGGCGGGGGATTGCAGTCACAGGTAGATTGAAGTGCAGTAACCCGCAACCTCAAGGTGTCATCCCGTCTGTGCCCTGGGCGTACTGCGCTGTACGTGATGATGGCGAGCCAGCCAAAGGACGGACAACGGACGGGAAGTTCCCATCACACTTTGAAGGTTGGGTTCTGGACTTTCATGATCCCAGCGTCAAACAACGGCATCGCGTCTATGACTGATATTCTAGCGCGTTCCAACAATTCCGATAATTCATTGTGAAACGGTCAAGAAAAAGAGAGACAAGATGAGGTTTGCAAGTGGAGTCGCTGGTCTGGAACCATTGGGTCAAAAATCAATGGCGGTGCTTGATGATGATTTGGATCGTGGAGGAAGTGGAAAAGGACGGGAAGTGGAAATGCCCTGCTCTCTCTTCCCGCCGCCAAGAGTCACAGGCGGACACAGGCGGTGGTTTGCCTTGAGCTCCACACAGACTGACCAACGAGAGGCAGAATTTGCGACAGACAGATGCCAAGAGCTGCCAGGGCCTGGAGCTTCCAGCCAATCCATCACCAGCGAAGCAACATGGCGGCGCTTATTCCAGACCACATCGTTCCTCGGCTGCGCCAAACCTTCTCCACGACGGCGCTTTGCTCGACGACGACAGCTCCTTCGACGACGAAGCAGACATGGGGAGACGCAGGTCCAGATGAGGCGACCGGCCACTCGGCGCGCCTGGTGGTGCATGCCCTGTAACAATTGGCACGATGGACGAAATGACTGGAAATCCGTTATGACCAAGAGACATGGCCTCTCTTTTGCCTGACTGGCCGCCCTCTTCCTCCTTTGCTTCACCTTGCTGTTGTTGTTTTCAAAGTGTGTCTGTCTGTGTGTGTCAGGTTTTCAACACTCTTTTCTTGTTACGGTTCTGCCTCAGCCACGGGATGGAGAGGGAACCCATTTTCCATTCATTCTGATATTTTTTCATCCGAATTATTTTGCACACTAGCACACTCTCTCCCTTCGTTGATTCAGTCCGATCTCGAATCTTATTCAGGCAGTACTTGGCAGGTCCTGTGAATAGGTAGTCACATACTTCCTATTGTTCCATCTTTTAGTTCCACTCAACCGTCCATCCTTCGAGACTTTTACGGCAAACTCACTCTTGTATCACACCTCTGGGACAGAACAAGTCTTTGTGTCTTTTGGTCACAGGACAGGAACTTCGACTTGATTTCTTTATCAACAACTCGCTTGCTGGCCATCCGAGTCCCACGCGAGCTTCCCGGCGATTCACGCTCTCTTTGATGAGTTAAACGACTTACCCAACACTACACTAACCACGATGGCTGTCAACATGAACGGCCCGATGGCGCGTCCCGGCCCATCACATCACACTAAGGTGCACAACAGGAAGGAGGAATGGGAGGATTGGTCCGACAATGAGCCATTCACCCCGATTCAAGAGGAGGATGGCGAGCTCACTCCCCTCACTCCGACCTTCAGCAGCCCTTACAGCACCAACAACAACTATACGACGAAACCGTCAACACAACGCACATCGTTCTCGACGGCTCGCCATTCCATGCAGAAAATCAGGCGTATGAAGTCCCGTCAGAGACAAAAGGCACAGAATGCCAACCTTGGCATCAAGGTGATTACAGATATGACCAAGCTGAGGCAGCAGCAATTACAACAACAGTTAGCCCACCAGGAGGCCCTGAACAAAGGAAAGGGATCCAGCGAAAAGGGAAAGTTTGTGGACGCGGCTGCCCTGAACGCACTAGAAGGAATGGCTTCTGACGAATCTATCGGGACTTTTGCTTGGCTAAGGAAGAAGAGGACCAGTCCAGCTTCCGCTACTCCCATCGAGAGGAGGATGGATCGGCTTGCGGTAGACACACCTACCTCGGCCGAGCTTTCACCAAGTGTTGGCGGTATCATGATCGGGTTCGCCATGCCCTCAGACTCGAATGTCGTCATCAGTCCACAAACTGCCGTCGTTGATACACCGGTCGACTTCGACAAGTACTTCTCTCCGCCTCCCACAGGAAAACTACCCGTCTCAGTCTGGTCACCAGACACTCCGGATTCCCAATGCACCATCAACTCGTATAGGACAGCAGGTCCCAGTGCTGGCACGGTGCCGGCTGTCCCTGCGGTGCCCAACAAGTATAGAGATACCCGCGCGACGGAATTCTATCTCAGCGACAATGAAGATGATCTACTCACTCCAATGGGTTATGGAAAACCGCGCCCACCCAGAGTTACGACCACAGCCTATTTCAGCGACGAGGATGACGACATGGCGACACCGGTTACTCTGTTCGAGGAGGATGGAAGTCCCGTGGCAACGCGACAGAGGTCCATCATCAAAGCAAAGAGCCCTGTGTCTGCGACATTAACCGCACGGTCACAACAAGGCTGGTGGGATCAGATTACTTCGCCATTCACACAAAGCCCGGTAATGTCAAAGACCCCTGTTGCTAGCATTCGAGAGGAGGACGACAAACAGGAGTGGTGGAAGACGGGCAACAACAATGGGTCTTTGTCTCCCAACAACAATGCCCTTGCTCAGGGGTCCACGGGAAGTGCCGTGAGGGCCAATCGACCTCCCATGATAGTTATTGAGGATGTCTCGCAAGTAGAGGCCTCTTCTTCCTCTTCTTACAACCCGTTTGCGACATCGTCAACAGTGATAGCATCTTCTTCCTCAGCAGCAGCGATGCCGACAACAGCACCGATGGCTCAACAACCGCAATCATATGCCGAGAAAGCACGCATATTGATCGAGGAGAACGAACCGACGGCCGCAGAATTGCCTCCCCCGTACTCGCCCCCGAAGAAGAACCAAAGTGCCCGGAATGTCCAGACCGCCGAGAATATCCGATATCGAGCAGTCTTTCCTTCCACTCATCCGCTGAACTCCATGTACCCGCCGTCTCCAGGCCCAGTTTCTCCTGGTCTGGCACAGACGATGACCTCACAAGGCGCGATCGACTTGCCCCATGTTCCTGCAAGGCCGCCTCCAGCCAGACCTGCGGTCCACCATAGGGAATTCCCAGCGCCGCCGCTCCGTGCCTTCGCACCCGCTACTCAAAGGCTGAAGGCCGAAGAAAAACGGTGCCGCAATGAGAAGGAGGACGCCATGGCACGCAAGGTCGGTGGATTGTGGAGAGGACGTGGCTGTATCCCAGCAAATGGCTGCTTTGGTCGGCCCGGTCGGGAAGGCAGGAAGCGTAGGCGGTGGTGTTTGGCCTTGTTCCTTGTGACTCTCGGGCTAATAGCCCTCGCTGTGGCTCTCGGGGTCGTCTTGTCACGTCCCAAGCCTGGCAAGCCCGCCCTTATTCGCCTTGGCTCAACCTCACAGAATTCCCGCCAATTCCTACCGGCATCTCCACAGTCATTGGCACCGACTCTGTTACTGATACCTCATGCGCCCAGGATCCGCGCTTCTGGAGTTGTGCTCTGCCTAAAGACCAGACTGCCCAGGCGGAACCTTTTGCTGCCGATCAGCCCAATTTCATTATCCAGATCCAATACGACAACAGCACACAACAAGCGTGGAATGTCACAGGCCAGGCAATCCCTACGCCTACTCCCACTAAGGATGCTGAAGCCTCTGCTTCACCGTCCCAAACTGGGAGCATCAAAAGCTCCGTTACTAATGGTACCGAAGCAAATCAGACGAGGGGACAACGCCCACAATCGGGCGGTGAACCGATGGGCTTCATCTCGGTTTTCAAGAGACTTTTGGGTCGTCAGATCCAGCAAACTCCCAGCGCTGGGTTTATTCCGCGCCCATCTCCGCCCGAATTTCAAGATATGTACTTCCTGGGAAACAACACGGATGGTATTGTGTCGGCAGGCAAAGCCGGAGAACCGACTCCGTTCTACATCAGCATTCTTCGCACTCTCGATGGTTCGGTTGGGCCCAGCATGCTCGCCCGTCGCGACCCTGAAGTTGATTCTGCCTCCAATCAGCTCAACAGGCGGCAATCCAATGGCGCCATCGATCTTTCCTTTATCCCACCAGTCTTGAATCCCGACGGAACCGGGGCTCCAGCCTTGCTCATGCCCTTCCCTACGCAGCAGCCTCTCCGCCTCTTCGACCGCGGGTTGCCGACCGAGCACTTTGGCTTTTACACCTACTTCAACAAGACCGTCTACATCAGCGGCGACGCCTCGTCCGACCGCGTCGGCGGCTCCACCGCCTCCGACTCCAAGTTCGTCATCACCTGGCTCTCGGCGCGCTACAAAGTGGAAATCTGGACGGGGCAGGTGAACGCAACCCGCCTGCTTGGGTCGCAATCCAACGGCGGGGCTGCGAGCAACAACAGCACGCGCCCGGGTTCTTTCCCATACCCCGTCACAGTCACGCTGGATACCCATGGTGGGATCCCGGGACGCAAGTTTGCGTTTAGTCGCGGGGTCGCAGCTGGGGGCAAAATCTTGATGAACGATACCAAGTTTATTCTGAATAACATGAACCAGACGGGTGATTGGATCAATCCCGGCGCGACGTTCAATCCGAGTTTTGGCGGTATGGATGGAGGTACAGGAGGTTGTCAGTGCAGGTATACCAACTGGGTGAAGTTGAATGCAGGCGATGCTTGATCGCGGAAGGGATAGGATATACTGGAGGAGTTTTCGGGTTATAAATGCATATCAGGCGCAGGGATTTCATAATTATTGCTTTCATGTGTCCAATTCCTTTTTTCGACTTCACTCGATTTCTTCATCAGAGACTACTTATGGGTCTATATCAGAAGACTTGAACATAGATGTTCGTGTGGGAGGCAGGTGAATCCACTTACAAAGAAGATACCATAGAATTGTTCAAGCAAACACTTACTAGCATGCATAACGTCCAGAAGTGAAAATATGCTCAGTGAACAGAACGTTCTAATGACAAAGTTAAAACAAGAGGCGAAACGTAGACTGGCTGACTTGATGTCGTTGCAAGAAGCTGGGGGAAGGGGGAAGGGGGAAGGAGCGCTCACCCCTAACCCTGACAGTTGACTAGTGGTCGTTGCCAGCTGAGAGCGAGTGTCAAGGCTTTTCTTTCTCAAACATCACTCACCCATCAAGGTACTCACTCACTCCATCGTCGACATCACCTGCGCCCTGAAGTCGACGAACCTCGCGGCTAGGAAGTGACATTTTGCTACAAAGGGCAATATTAGGATCTTTACTGAAATCTCTGATCAGAGGTTAGGCAAGCGCGGTCTTGATCGCAAGGGAGCATCATCGTCGCTCCTCGGCCGGAAGCCCGATTTGGCAGGCGTCGACCGGTGGACACTCGATTACTGCCAACGTATTGAGCCTTCTAGAGGAAAGAAGACTCGATAGAAGTCAATATGAGGCAGCTAAAATTCCTCCACGGTGGTGGACTACGAGCATGGACAGCAAGAGGAAGTCTCAGGACCAGTCATGTCCGACAAGTGCGGCGTCAACAGCCAAGGTGCATAAAGCGAGCATCTCTCCCGAGAGCCATGAGCACATCTCATGACCCAACATTGACACCAACACCAACATCCGCTCAAATATTAATACCAGAATCAACATCCAACATGCATATCGCCAGGACTCACCCGGACCAGGACGTCCCTCAATACATCACGCCGATCAAGCGCCGCCCCACAGAACTTCTGACCTTGGCCATCGAGACATCTTGCGATGACACATGCGTCGCCCTCCTTAAGAGCTACGACAGCAATGAGAACCCCAAGAAGGAACCCGAGATGGTGGCCCACCTGCTCTTCAACAAAAAAATCACTTCGGACCAGCGCCAATTCGGCGGTGTCCACCCGGCCGTCGCCGTCGAGTGGCATCAGCGCCATCTCGCAACCCTGGTCCAGGAAGCCATCCAACATATTCCCGAAGCTGGTCCCTCAGGCAACCAATCTTACCAGACAATGAGAAAGCCCAAGCAACACATCAAGCCGGACCTCATCGCCGTCACCCGGGGGCCCGGCATGCCCACCAGCTTGGCCACCGGCATGGAAGTAGCCAAGGGTCTCGCTCTGGCCTGGGGAATCCCGATCGTGGGCGTCCATCACATGCAAGCGCACGCTCTGACGCCGCAGCTCGTCGAAGCTCTCGAACGCTCCGCTGCTCCCAGCCTCGCATCATCCCCATGGGCACAGCGCCAACAGCCCGAACAACAGCAAGCAGCAGCATCGAAGAAGCAAGAAGAGGCTCAGCACCCCAGTCTCGACTATCCCTACCTCAACCTTCTCGTCTCCGGCGGCCACACGCAGCTGGTCTACTCTGCCTCTCTCACTTCACATCTGATCCAGTGCACAACCGATAACATCGCGCTAGGCGACATGCTCGACAAAGCCGCGCGCAAGATCTTGCCCGCTTCGGTCCTGGAATCAGGCCAAAACGTCATGTACGCCGCCGCGCTGGAGCGCTTCGCCTTCCCCAGGTTCCCTGCGGGTGCCGACGAGAGGGAGTACAACTTCAAGTACACTCCGCCGGCCACGCGGGCCGCCGAGATCGAGCCGCACAACTCGCCCTACGGCTGGCACCTCTCGCCGCCTCTGTACGCCTCTAGGAGGATGGAGTATAACTTTACCGGGCTGGGATCGCAAGCGCAGCGCATCGCCGACACGCTGGACAGTTTCTCTTCGTACGAGAATCCCCGGGACCAGGTCCTTTCGCGGGAGGTCTCCCCGGAGGAGGGGTCCGACAATGGGTCCGCCCTGGCTCCTTCGGCCACCTCGGACGACTCCAACACCCCTCTCCTCTCGCCGGCCCTCGATGAAAAAGACCAGATCGAGCAGCGCCGCTACCTGGCCCGCGCGGTCATGCAGTTGGCTTTCGAGCACCTCGCCTCGCGCATCGTCATGGTGCTCCAGCAGCAGGCCAAGCACTCGGGTGAAGCCCAAAAGGTTAAGACGCTCGTGGTGTCGGGCGGCGTGGCGAGCAATCAGTTTCTGAGGCATGTGCTGAGGCGCGTGCTGGAGGTACGCGGGTTCGGACATATTCGGATTATGGCTCCGCCTGTGAACCTGTGTACGGACAACGCGGCCATGATTGCGTGGACGGGGTCCGAGATGTACAGGGCCGGGTGGGTGAGCAAGCTGGATATGTTGCCAATTAAGAAGTGGAGCATGAGCTCGACAGGCGAGCAGGGCGGGATCTTGGGGACGGAAGAGAAGCCCTTTTATGTGAGGCGTTGATCGAAGTCGGACTAGGAGCCTAGAAAACAGGAACTGGTAGGCTGAAAAGGAGCAGATGCTGGGTGCATGGGTGATGGGTGTCTGGGGCGTTTGGTATCCTTGCTTTTATCTTGTATAATAAGAGTTCACCTGTATGATAGCGGAAGTCAACAGCGTAGTGTATGATTATGGACATTGAAAAGGGCTAGAAAGGACCTTCAAGCGCGGTTCTGAAGACATTGGAGGTCGGGACTTTGCTTTTGACCACCCTTCTTCTGTTGTGCAATACTTCCACATACGTCAAAAACTTGGCATTTGACCTTGTTAACCTGATTCATTCTGTCAGTGTCGCATTGCCTGTAAAAGTCTAGAACGCTATGGGGACCCATTGGAAGCTGATATCGTTTCTTCATTATGTGTAGTATGCTGCTGGCTAAAGTGCCTCTGCCTCACTAACATCCGTCCATTCGGTCCGGGTCAGTCAAGCGATCCATATTCACTACTCTCTCTATCCTCTCTTCCTTCCTCCCTTAAACACGGGTCGAAACATCCTCGGTGAAGTCGCTCGTGACGTTGCTGAACTCACCCTTCTCCAGCTTGGTCTTCCAGAAGATGGGGTTCGTGTCGTTGAAGCCGTGCCTCTCCCATCCCGACTCCTTGACGTGGTACAAGTTGATGAAACCACCAGAGTAGGCATCACGATGTGTAGCAGCCAAAATGCTCCTGCGTCCCAGCTCGAGCGCCTCCTCTGTCGTCAAGTCGTATCTGTACTCGGCGTCCAAGACACCATACGCAAAAGTCTGACCGGATCCGACACAGAACAAGTTACCCGCCAATCTGGTGCCGTCCGAGTCGATGTAGTAAAGCGCGGGGCCCTCCTCCTTGGTGACGCCGGCGCACATGGTGCCCATGGACAGGCCCATGCCCTTGTACTGGTACACCAGGTTGGCGAGGATCTTGGAGGCGGCCGCCACGGAAATGCGGCGCTTGTGCCGGAGCTCGTGCAGCCGGCACTGCATGCCCAGCCACGCCAGCCAGTACTGGCAGTCAGCGGCGCCGCCCGCCATAGTGCCCAGCAGGTCGCTGTTGATCTCGATAACCTTCTTCACCGTCTGCGAGGCGATCCAGTTACCCGCCGTGGCGCGCGAGTCCGTCGCCACCACGATGCCGCCTTGGAAACGGAAGGCCAGTGTGGTGGTGCCGTGGGCAATCTTGATGGGGCACGAAGGGTTGGCGCGGTCGTCGGTTGCGGCGCGGAGCCAGGAGGAGGGCTGGTTTTGTTACAGTGGTTAGCTTTTTATTGCTATCATCATTCATCATCATCATCGTCGTCGTCATGGCACCGTCGTCGAACCGGGTCTGGCTAGCGAGCTGGGATAGGGCAAACAGAAGGAGGAAGGGGCCGGAGGGGTACTTGGAGGGGCACTGCGAGGAGGGGGGGGGGGGGGGGGGG